AGAGTGGTGGTGTTGTTTGTCCATGACTAGTCCACGGTGATGTGGACGCTGAGGAACTTAAAACGTGTGAATCTCTCTACTGCAGTGTCGTTGATGTAGATCGGGAATGTTCCCTCCTCTGCTTCCTGAAGTCAACAATCAACTCCTTTATTTTGCTGACGTTTAGTCAAGATAAAAATGAATTGCTATTTTGATACGTGAGGCTTATTTGATCTAAAATAATTACGTTGTATCAGAGTGGTCCTTGTTGATATTCGAGACATCTATGCATATTCATGAGGCTAGCATAGCATCTCGCTTTCCATTGAATACAGGCGGTTGATGTCAACATCCCTCATCGAATATTAAAACAATTATTCAAATAGCGAGATGTATCCACCAATCCAAAGAGAAGAATAGGCGGGAGCTTGACAGCTCAGACTAAGGTACGTAGCGAACGACAGAGAAGCGGAATAATGTAATGTGAATCGTCAGGCTAAGAGCATGGTGCTTGCAACGCCAGTATAGTGGGTTCGATTCCTGGGACCACCCTTATGTAAAATGTATGCACGTATGACTGTAAGTCGCTTTGGATCAAAGCGTCTGCTAAATGGCACATATAGTATACACTGAGTATACCAAATATTAGGAACACCTTCTTAATATTGAGTTGCACCACCCCCTTTTGCCCTCAGAACAGCCTCAATTCATCGGGGCATGGACTCTACAAGGTGTCGAAAGCGTTCCACAGGGATGCTGTATGTGCATGATGTGAATCTTGCGTGCCTCTTGCTAGCTGCACTCAAATGGCGAGGGTCTGAAGTTCATTGGTTGAACTGGAATTGCTAGGGGGCTGGCCCACATAGGGGAAAATGTAGGGAAAATGGGGCAGCACAGCTTCGAGAAAAACTGTCGCTTTCAAACTAGGTATTTCCTGACTAATTGAGGTAAGACAGTAATTCTGTTCATATATTATGCATGTATGAACTACACATTGACACGCCAGCACAAAGCGGGAGGTTTAAAAAATACTTAATAGTTGCTAAAGTTCCGGAGCATGTCTTTAAGTGAAAATCACCATACGTTTGCTGTCATTTTTCAGCGCACTGCCGTTTGCATTCTGCACGCGGTAATACAAATGCCACTGTAGAATACATTATACACAGAGTGTACAAAACATTAAGAACACCTTCCTAATATTGACTTGCACCCAATGTTCCCTCAATCTTCTTCCGGTACTAAGCAAATTTCAGGTCAAACTTGAATGTTGTGAAAATTCTGTGCAACTTCCGGAGCGCATTTACTGTGAACACTGAGGCTGTACCCGCTTTAAGTTACAGTTTTAATGGTGGCCAAGTAGGCTACTGTGGCTATTTGATCATAATGTAGGCCTACCAGAGTGGCCTACCATCAAAAACAATGGAAAGAAATGCATCCCATAACATTTTAACATGGAAATAGCTGTTCTATCATTCAGCCTACAGTAGCAGCCAATGTGTGGTGTTCAATGTAGGCCTACATTCCATGAGAGTTTTGAAAAAAACATGCGGGGCTTGACATTAACCTATTTATCCACTTGTGCTTCAGACAAGGAGGTGACTGAAAATGTTGTTGTGTTGTTTGATGCAAGAAACCACTTTACTAAATAAAATGATTTATTATTCCCATACCATTTTTACAGAGAATCAGAAACATTTTGCTACAATCTGCCTATTGGCTACTTGGCTTATTCAAGCGATCTCAAAATACAACACTGCCCCTTTAAGACAAAAAAAAGCTCTATACCAACTCACTTTTCAAAGAAATGTACACATTTTGTGCTCTTGTACTCCCCCATTGCTGATTACAAATGATATATAACTGGGCTAATAACTCACTAACTAGCAAAGGATATCAACAAATGTGCACACGTGGCTACATGCAGCTCTTGCTTTTATCTCAAAACAAGCGCATCTACTCACGAGCGCTCATGCTGTAAACGCAGTCCAGTTCAAAGTGAATGGCACTGAACCATATATGGAAATGGTCTATTTGCAATAGGCCTACTGCAGCTCTAATTGGCTATGCCGCACCGGTCTGTGTAGAGTACGGGCTGAGTTGTGCCTGTCAATGCAATAGAATCCTACTCCTATGCGTTCTGCCTACACCAAAATATCTTGCATAGTTAGTTTTGCATACTAAGTCTTGCATAATTTGATTTGTTTTTGGTTGTTGCATTGCAATTCCCACAGTCAAGGGACACGTTGATAGTGTTAACTAAGGGGGAAAACTCTAGAAAGTTCAGGGAAGTTCAATCTCGTGCTTCTCTGCGCATGCTGATATTTATTCTACTTGGCAGTCTGGGGGCAGCTGCACGCCTGCGTGCAGCTTAGAGGGAACATTGGTGTCGAAAGCGTTCCACAGGGATGCTGGACCACGTTGACTCCAATGCTTCCCACAGTTGTGTCAAGTTGGCTGGATGTCATTTGGTTGGTGGACCATTCTTGATACACAGGAAACTGTTGAGCGTGAAAACCCCAGCAGCGTTGCAGTTCTTGACACAAACCGGTGCGCCTGGCACATACTACTAGGGGTGTGCCGCCATACTTGTATTCGTAATCGTATCTGTAAATTGACAGTTGATAGTCAGATCGGATGATATTTGTGATCGGGAAAAAAGTGTTTTAATATGCCTCAATATACTGAACAAAAATATAAACGCAACTTGTAAAGTGTTGGTCCCATGTTTCATGAGCTGAAATAAAAGATCCCAGAAATGTTACATACATACAAAAAGCTTATTTCTCTCAAATGTTGTGCACAAATTTATTTACATCCCTGTTTACATCTCCTTTGCCAAGATAAACCATCCACCTAACAGGTGTGGCATATCAAGAAGATGATTAAACAGCATGGTCATTACACAGGTGCCCCTTCTGCTGGGGACAATAAAAGGCCACTTTAAAATGTGCAGTTTTGTTACACAATACAATGCCACAGATGTCTCAAGTTTTGAGGGAGCGTGCAATTGGCATGCTGACTGCAGGAATGTCCCCCAGAGCTGTTGCCAGATAATTGAATGTTCATTTCTCTACCATAAACCGCCTCCAATGTCGTTTTAGAGAATTTGGCAGTACGTCCAACCGGCCTCACAACTGCAGACCATGTGTAACCACGTCAGCCCAGGACCTCCACATCCGGCTTCTTCACCTGCAGGATTCACCTGGACAGCTGATGAAATTAAGGAGTATTTCTGTCTGTAATAAAGCCCTTTTGTGGGGAAAAACTCATTCTGATTGGCTGGGCCTGGCTCCCCAGTGGGTGGGCCTATGCCCTCCCAGGCGCAGCCATGGGTCCATAGATTAGGGCCTAATGAATTTATTTCAATTGACTTATTTTCATATATATCTCTTTACATAAAGACAGGCAAACTAGCCAGTTTAGTTATTTAGACCATGTAGAACCTCTACATGACTGACTAAAAAACAGTACATTATGGTTTAGAAACTCTGTGACTGACTGACATGAGAAGGATGCTTGCTTGCACCCGAAAATAAAGTTTTTTCGATCACGGACAATGACAAAAAATACTCGGATCATAATCGTATCCAGAAAACTTGCCCATATCCATTACGATTTTGACCGACTACTCGGCACACCCCTACCTACTACCATACCCGTTCAAAGGCACTTACATATTTTGTCTTGCCCATTCACCCTCTGAATGGCACACATACACAGTCCATGTCTCAAAAATCTTTATTTAATCTGTCTCCTCCCCATCACCTACACTGATTGAAGTGGATTTAACAAGTGACATCAATAAGGGATCATAGCTTTCACATGGGCAGTCTATGTTATGGAAAGAGCATGTTTTGTACACTCAGTGTATTTACATTTTAGTCATTTACGCACAGCGACTTACAGTAGTGAGTGCATACACTTTCATACTTTTTCTTACTGGTCCCGCATGGGAATCGAACCCACAACCCTGGCGTTGCAAGCGCCATGATCTACCAACTGAGCCACACTTACAGAGATAAGAGGGCCTGAGAGATGAGGTCTCCAGTAGGTGGCAGTATAGAGAGGGGCCTGAGAGATGAGCGGCCTGACAGATGAGGTCTGCAGATGGACACTCAGTGGCATATTAAACTCAAATGCCTGTAGTAAGTTCTACTCAAAGTCAATGAAAAGTCATTATTACTTAAAATATTTATGTGGTACTGACTTAAAACTAAATGAGAAGTCACACCAACAAATGTTTTTAAAGATATGATAAATTAACTTTTTTTCCCAGCATGCTCTACTGCAGGTTGATTTTTTGTAATTGTTTTTAATATCTGTGTTTTTCATGTACATTGAGTGATTGATTGATAAAATGTTATGCTACACAAAAATAAATACTTTTTTTTCTTAACTAATCCAATTATTGCATTTTTACACCACTGAAATGGTTGTTGCAGTTTAAATGGCTTAGGTCGTTTCCTCCCACTGTTCTTAACACTATGAATGTAGGTTGTAGGTGAATACAAATGTCTACTGTTGGATAGACTCCAATAGAAATTACACATCACTTTGCAAGCCAGTGTACTGTGATTTACAGGTAGTGTTTCAAATTTCTGGTAACCTTCCCAGATTTTCCAGAAATCCTGATTAGAAGTGTACTGGGGAAAAATTTGCAAACCTACTTGCAGGCCTGGCTGTGCCTGTCTACAATGAGTTTCAGACCACTGTACAACGCCTTATGATATATGTAATTCAACGATAACTGTCAGCAGTAGAACTCACGTGCTGAAGGACACAGTACTGATACGGTACGAATTCAACAACCATGTCTCTATCACTAACAGATACAGTCATGGGTGGTAAACTCTACAATTCAGTCAAAAGGCAAGGCACACTGGGAAATTATTGGGGGCGTGACTTAGTAGGGGCGTAAAATGTAACTATACCTTATATCCGGGATCCTTGGGACGTCTTATAAACAAAATCTATGGGCCGGCCCTACACCCCTCCCAGAAAGGACATCAAAGTCTAGCATCTTAATTGGTTAACCGCAGTTGCTTTGTTGTGCACGGCCAAAGATTTTATTCACAGGTAGCTCATTTTAACCAGAAAGTTTATTTAGCTAGCTAAATTCACAGCATGGCTTGATTGATTTATGTAGTTGGGTCAAGCGTACAGTACATGTGGCACACTAGTTACATTAACTTTACCGGTAGCTTAGCTAGCTAGGTGTTGTCAACATTTCTATGGTGCGTCTTTCACCCGTCTTTCAGTTTCAACTTTAGTGTTGTCATTTCGAGCTCAAGAGAGCGAGGGTAAACTAGTTTAGAAAAGAAACAGTGGGTCGATCTGCTAAGTAGACAGCAGAGCCAGAGATGGCTATCGCCCACGTCGCTACAGAGTATGTGTTCAGTGATTTCCTCCTGAAGGAGCCGGGTCAGGCAAGGTACCGCACCGTGCGCACTGAGCTAGCCATGGACAAGATGGTGACGTGCGTGGCGGTGGGACTCCCTCTCCTCCTCATCTCTCTAGCCTTCGCCCAGGAGGTCTCTGTGGGTGAGTAGGTTACGGGTGTGGGGGAGGTTACCTGTGTGTGATTAATTAATCATTAAATCATAAATGATGATGGTGTCATTTAGTGTGTGTGTGTTTCTGTCTGTCTCCCAGGTGTTCAGATCAGCTGTTTCCCTCCAGCTAACTTTTCCTGGCGTCAGGCCATGTATGTGGACTCCTACTGCTGGGCAGCCCTACACACTCACACACTACCCTTATGGCTACACAAGGTAACACACACAGACAGACTATCCCTATGGCTACACAAGGACACACACAGGGAACTAACACTTAACCATTCTACTCTCTCTCTCCCTCTTCTCCTTTCTCTCTCCCTTTGTCCACCCTCCTTTCTCTCTCCCTTTCCCCCGCTCTCTCAGTTCTTCCCCTATATTCTGCTGTTGATAGCAGTAATTATGTATAGTCCAGCGGTGTTCTGGCGTTTCTCTGCCTCGCCTCTGCTTCAGTCAGACCTCAGCTTCATCATAGAAGAACTCGACCGCTGCTACAACCGTGCTGTCACTCTGGCTAAACGCATGGCCACTACTGGGGAACACACAGACAGGTAGACTAACTGGATTGTATTCAATAGGCACCGAACAGAAGAAACTGACTGAATGGAATTAATGGAACGTCATCAAACACATGGAGACCGTTTGAAGTGTTTGATACTGTGCCATTAATTCCATTCCAGCCATTACTATGGGCCCGTCCTCCACCACTGCTAACCCTCTCACTCTCTCTGTCTCTCCCTCCAGTGGTGTGTCCGACCCTACTGAGGGCTGTTTCATGTACCCAGTGGTGGAGCAGTATCTGCTGACCAAGAGGAGGAGTGTTGTGTTGTTGTGGCGCTACCTGCTGTGTCGAGGCCTCAATCTACTCACCTTGCTTCTGGCCTGTGTCTACCTGGGCTACTACCTCCGCCTCGCTTCCGTCACTGACCAGGTAGCTAACCCTGACCCACTGACCAACTGGGTCTAGTCACAACTGACCCTAACTTATTGATTTTGTGTTGTGAGTTATCTGGCTAACTTATTGGTCCTACATTGTGATCCTCCCCACAGTTCGGCTGTTCCCTGCGCACTGGACTCCTGGCCAATGACACCTCAATCCCCAACCAATTACAGTGCAAGCTGGTCGCTGTGGGCGTGTTCTCTTTGCTAAGGTTTTTACACCACCTTTTTAGCTTTTAGCCAGTCATTTTTGTTGTTCCCTTTTTGAATCAAGTTTACCGGATTGTGATTTCAGCTTTGTTAACCTGCTGGTGTACGCCATGCTGGTTCCCGTGGTGATATACTCCGCTCTGCGCCCCTTCTTCCAATCACACACCCATTTCCTGAAGTCCTACCAATCACTGCCCACCATCAGTGTTCTGCCCCTCCCTCAGGGCCAATGGGATGACCTGACGCTCTACTTCCTCTTCCTGGAAGAAAACCTCAGCGAGCTCAAGTCCTACAAGTACATGAAGGTGTGTGTGTGTGTGTGTGTGTATATATAGGGCTGTGTTGTGGAGTTTCAAGTTTTATTGTCACATGCACAAGTACAGTGAAATGCCTATCTTGCTTGCTCTTTCCCAACAATGCAGTAATGAATATCAGTAGTACTATAGAGAATAGTCAAGTAGAACAAAAACACATGAGAAATAGAAGTAAGAAGAACATAAGAAAGTAAGTAAGCTATTTACAAGGTCAGTTCCAGGGTCAATGCCAACACCATATTTACAATGTGGAGGGATACTGGAGTGGTAGGGGTAGATATGTATAGGGGTAAGGTGACTAGTGTTAAGTTGCGTCAATTCAAATCTGGTATTAGGAACAAAAGAGGTCAAAACACGTCTTCTAAATAGACTAGTATTTTAATTAATGCAAACCACTTCAATGGTAAATATGATGTTCGTATATACGGGTCCACTGAAATACCATGCAGGGCACTCAGAGAACTAAGCCATTGTTATGAGTTCTTCTTAAAATACTCTGACAGAGATAGTTCCCGCTCCCTGCTGGCCAATCAGATTAGAGGTTGGGCGTGGTTTAGATTTACTCAGCCAATCCGTTGGCGCACAGGCTGGTCCCAGTCCCTTGGCGCTCCACTGTTGCACACTGTTGCCAGGCATAAGTTGTTATCACAGCAACCTGTCCAGAGAGTCAGCACCTTTTTGCAGTACACGTCCTTGGACGGTTCACAGATCACAAAGAAGCAGTGTAATCTAGTATTTTGAGACACAAGTTCTTATCTCATCCTACCCCCTAACGTTCCTCACATGAATCACAGCTTGTTATGTGAAACAATTTATATCAGTACAGTACAAACCTTTTTATGTTTAATCACCAATGCATTCCTTCTAAGCTATTCATCACATACAGATCCAATTATGAGAAAATAGATCCCCACACTAGGCATCAGGATATACATGATAAACAGAGTAGCAGCAGTGCATATGATTGTTATGTGAATGTGTGTGTGTGTAGAGTCAGTATGAATGTGTGTGAGAGAGCAAATTAATTGTGAGTGTGTAGGGTGCATAGAGTTAGTGCAAAAATACAAATAAAATAGAAGGGTCAATGCAGATAGTCTGTGTAGCCATTCTGTTAGCTATTTAGCAGTCTTAAGGTCTGGGTATAGAAGCTGTTCAGGAGCCTGTTGGTGTCAGACTTGTGGCTCCAGTACTGCCACATGGAAGCAGAGAGAACAGTCTGTGTCTGGAATCTTTAACAATTTTCCGGCCCTTCCTTTCACACCGCCTGATATAGAGGTCCTGGATGGCAGAGAGTTTGGCCCCAATGCAGTTGCCATACCAAGCAGTGATGTAGCCAGTCAAGATGCTTTCAATGGTGCAGCTGTGTAACTTTTTGAGGATTTGAAGGCCCTGACAAACCTTTTCAACCTCCTGAAGGGGAAGAGGCGCTGTCATGCCTTCTTCATGACTGTTTCCATGTGTGTGTGTTGCTGAGGCAGAGGTGTGTGTGTGTGTGTGTGTGTGTGTGTGTGTTTAACTGTATAGCTCTGTGTTGTAGGTGTTGGAGTTGCTGAGGAGGAGGGGTGTGTGTGAGGGGGAGGACTTTGACGCCATGGGACTGCTTCAGATGCTGTGTCTGGTGAAGACTGATGCCACGGACGGAAAGAGGAGCACCGCAGCTACCTCCAATGCTAGTGACAAAAACCCCAATGCAAATGCTAGGCGTAATGCTAAAGCTAATGATAACCCTGCCGCTGGGGAGGCCAGTAGCAAGGCCCCAGCCCCCGGCCCAGCTTCCCCAGACCCAGGCCAAAGCCAGACCAGTGCCACTGAAATGACAGGTGAGTCTGAAAGGAAAGAAAGGACGGGGAGAGGGGAGGGAGGAAGGGGAGAGGAAGCAGAATTGGAATGATGGGAAATGTAATGAAATTCTAAACTATTCTACAAAGAAAACAAATATCTGTTAAGTGAAATTCATAATGTTCTGTTTCCCCCCCAGAATTCTCTGCTCTGTTGCCAGGCAACAGTGCAATGACAGGCGGGAGTGACGAGGGGGCGGTCCGACATCGAATTATCTGATCGTTGCCATGAAGGAACAGCCCCAGTGGGTTGTGGGACACTAGGAACCAGAGGTTCTAAGACCAAGAGACCCAACAAGCCTTTATCTAAAGAACTCAGATTAAGGTGTAGCAGAGATGTCTTGATGTAAATGGGACAGCGTTGTTTTACAGTTTTTTTTCAATTGCTAACAAGCATCGGTCAATACTGAAGCCACTTTTTCAAAACTCTTCACACAGTCTGCATTACCAACATGCATCTTGGCCAGACAGTTAATCTCACCTCCAAAACTCACTCAAACCACCAAAACACTTCATACATTTTGTAAGTCGCTCTGGATAAGAGAGTCTGCTAAATGACGTAAATGTAAATACATGTCTCAAAATAAGCTTGTTCGACCATAACACTGGCAACAATTCTCACTCAGAAAGCATTCATTCTCACTCATTTCATTATAGAATAACACCTTTTCACTTTGACTGTACTAAAGTATATGTAACAAGAATGATTCAGAAATGCAGCAATTAGCTTCAATAGGCTTTTTTTCTATGTCTTTGCATATAGTAATTTACTTGTGAAAAATAAAAAGTTGAAACATAAAACAAAATCCTGAAATTCCAGGGCTGCAATAATAATGACAAAATAAAAACATCAACAACATGTATAGTATAATCACTCATACTGTACAGTACTGTGAGGGTTCTAGTTCTCATCAACATCACATCTTATTTCTTCTCTGGCGATGCATCTTGGAAAGTATCTTCTGGAATGTCTAATCCAACCCTGGCAGTCTTCAGGAGAAGTGTCTCCACACCATCTGGTCATGTGGATGGTGGTCATAAACCTTCCACCTCCACGCAGAGAAAAACTCCTCTATGGGGTTTAGGAAGGGGGAGTATGGAGGCAGGAATAGTACTGACATTCTGGGATGTGCAGCAAACCAGTCTGTGACTGCAGCAGAGTGGTGGATGGCCACATTATCCCACACAACAACGAAGGTAGGGGAGTTTCTTGCTCCTCTCTGCTGGCACAAGTCGATTATGCAGGTTATTCAGAAAATAAATGAACCTCTGTATTGTAGGGGCCAATGAATGGTTTGTGTAACAGCAAACTATAATTGGACAGTGCTGCACATATTGTGATATTAGCTCCTCTCTGGCCTGGGACATCCACGGTTGCTCTCTGTCCAATCACATTTCTTCCCCTGCGACACGTTTTTGCCAGGTTGAATCCAGCTTCATCCACAAAGATGAATGTATGTGCAGTTTGCCTGGCTTCCATCTCCATTACTCTCTAAAATACAGTAAATCCACAGTTTTACAGTACTTTACATTATGCATAACTGTGTATTCACCGTTTCTCTCAAAGGGTACAGTGTACAACTGCTTCATCCTTAGTTTATGTTTCTCTAGGACTCTGGCAATTGTCGTTGTGCTGACCATATTCACATTCCCAAAAGTGATATTGTCTGCCAGCACTCTGTCCCGAATTTCCTGCAGTTTTATTGCATTGTTGCCAATTACCATGTCAACTATGGCAATTTCCTGCGCATCTGATAATATTCTGGCTCTCCCTCCTGTGGGAGCCAACCTTTGGATCCTACTGAAAAACACAAAACAATCAATATATTTCAAAATGTCAGTACATGTAAAAATGTGAAGATACTGTATTGTACTGTAATATGTAGTTCATTTATCATTGAAGGATGCACATCTCACCTGTTGTTTTGCCGGAAAATTCGTACTATTGATGCAACTGTTGAACGCTGCAGATTTGGTTGCACCCTTAAACCGGCCTCTCTCAAAGAGAGACCATGGTTTACAACATGGTCAATAATTGTGGCCCTTATCTCATCAGAGACCACCGCTCTTGGTCTTCCTCTCCTTTGTCCTCCATGCATTCTCCCTCTCCCTGCCACTCTTCTTTCCCCACCAACCTGTCTTCCTTGATCCATGTTCCAAACTAAATCATTCCGAAGTTTGGTAACAAGACTAAAAACAGGACGCTTGGGCAGGTTTTCAGCTGAAATTGCAATCAGCTGTGTTTGGAATGATTAAATATTCTGCTGAGATGTTCTATGTTTCAATCTGATTACTGCAGAAATGCACGACATTTGCCATCATTCTGTTTTGAATGTGTTTTTAACAGTTTTGGAAACAGTGTTAGCATTTGAAAAGGTGCTGCAAATATATAGTTTTGCAGGTGATGGAGTATGAATGAGAAAGAGTTCATGGATTTCGGAGAATGTGGTCATTGAATGCATTTTGTGTGAAAGTAATGAAAAATGATTCACAGTTTGGTCCACATACATTTATGTTTCACTGACTGTGAAGAGTTTTGACAATGTGACTTCAGTTTTGACCAATGCATGTTAGCAAGTGAAAAAAACTGTAACTAACGCCAGTGGTACTAGCCAACAATGCCATGAAGTTGCTTTGATGTGATCAGGGAATTTGAATCGGACAAGCCATTTCTGGGTATCTTCCTATATTGAAAGCCATACTGCCCAAGGTGTGTGTGGTGGCGGCATACTGTATGCAGAAGGGTCTTTCTATAAACTAGAGTACCACTGAGGATTTCCTACACTGGACAACTTTTTACAGCTGTTGATAAGTCATGGATAATAATGAGCTATGTAATATGATCTGGTAATGAAATAACATGACAAATACATTTTGTTTACCATGTTACACCTGCAATTTTAAACAATACAAGGGGCTTGAAGTAGCCTACTTTCTCTTTATAAAAACAGCGATGGTGAGATCGAGTCCTTGAATTTGACTTGCCCATGTCTTTATTTACCCTGCTTAAAGGATGTATAGTATGAAAATGTATGCACTCACTAACTGTAAGTCGCTCTGGATAAGAGTGTCTGCTAAATGACTCAAATGTAAATGTATAGTCCTAGGCCATTGTTGTATAGGTGGAGTCATGGGCCAATTTGCATATATTCACTTTTATTACTCTAAATACACCTGTAACTGCATTACATTTACATTTTTTTACATTTTAGTCATTTAGCAGACGCTCTTATCCAGAGCGACTTACAGGAGCAATTAGGGTTAAGTGCCTTGCTTAAGGGCACATCGACAGATTTTTCACCTAGTCGGCTCGGGGATTAGAACCAGCGACCTTTCGGTTACTGGCACAACGCTCTTACCCACTAAGCTACCTGCCGCCCCATGCATGAAAATCATTTTTTATTTTAGTTGCAAGCCATTTTTAAATTAGGATTCCAATGTCACACATTGGCCCCATTATTTGTAGAAAGACCCAGAACTGTTATTTTTACATGTGGGGCATGCAGAATGGAGAAGTCTAGAAATAAGCTTCATGGGCCCGGAAGCTGGCTTGTGATGCATATGTTTACGTGGATAAACAGAATAAAATATTTGTTATTATCAAATACATTTGCAGCATCATTGTTCCCCTTTGGACAGTTTACACATTGGCTGACAATGACATAACAGGAGGAATGGGAACCTAAAGGCAGTATAATAGCCTTTTGGAGAACAGGAGGGACTCACACACACACAACTTAAAAGTACATGTAGAAAAAAGGTTTATAAATAAAGTAAATTGTTATTAGATGAACTCCGTGGGACAAACAGCTCTTGCTTCAAACGTTCAGTTAATACAATTAACCATTAGCCAGTCCACATGTTATCATGGCCACGTTCAGCAGGAGACAACGTTGGCTAACGTTCAGATAGACATGTATGATGTAGAACAAATATACTTCTCTGGTATGTAGAATTAGCAATCACATCAGCTCTAGTCATGGCATTTCTATCTGCAACGTTCCACAACGCTACAGTATCAGCTACTTGACGTAACAATCCGGAACACACCCCTTCACGAAAGTAGCAGTCAGGCTGCCTACGAGCGAACGAACTGGTAAGGAAAAGTACCACTCACGACTGACGGACATAAGTCAGTAGTAAATAATAGCAAAGTGACATTTCAGCGACACTTTCGTCTATTCAGTTTCAGTTCATGTTCATGAATGATCGTTCGGTTTCAAAACGTGTTTGCGACGCGTGCACTTGCTACAGTTCCCCAGTGTTTGTTTACAACACTATTATTAGAAATACGATCTAATAATAGTTCATAGGGATTCAACTTTAGGAATGTTTCTCTCTAGATATGCTTATGTTTTAGAAAAATACTTTATATACCCATATTCCTTGGCGCATTGGTCTGAAGTTGACAACCCATCTGAAAGACACACAGATTGGAGAGTTTGAGCAGGGCAGCCCCTGAGGAGCCATTTAAGGGGTTGCTCAAGGATACTGGCTTATTCCCCAGCAGATTTTTGTCAGTTGGGATTCAAAACCGGCAACCCTCCGGTTTGCTAGCCCACTTTTTACATTGAAAAAGCTGCGTTTGTTTCCAAATATGCCTGCAGCAGCTGAGACACAAGACCTGTCCTATGTCGTCGCCAGAGATCGCTTCCCTGTCCTGGGGACACATGAAGGTGAAGGGCTGCTCCTCTGCCTATAAGGACTGTAAGGTGTGGCCCGGGGGCAGCCGCGCCTGGGACTGGAGAGAGACTGGGACGGACGTAAGTTATGATGATAATAGGACGAATAGGACATGGGTTGCGTCTCAAATGTCCACTTATATGACGATAATGATGTCACTCACTATGTGTGTAGCATCACCCTGGAGTGCAGCCTGCAGATCTGGAGGAGGTGCTTCAGAAGGGGGTGGAGATTCTGGTCATCGGGCGGGGCATGAGTGAGGCGCTGCAGGTATGCCCCATATACACACACACTCCCCCTACTCCCTACACGTTTACATGACACTTTCCCTAGACCTACACATTTACCCTACACTTTCCCAGTGGTGGAAAAAGTACTCAATTGTTATACTTGAGTAAAAGTAAAGATACCTTAACAGGAAATGACTAAAGTAAAAGTTACCCAGTAAAATACTACTTGAATAACAATGTACTTAAGTACAGTGGTAGAAAAAGTACTCAATTGTCATACTTGAGTAAAAGTACAAAGTAAAAGCTATACATCAAATTCCTTATATTAAGCAAACCAGACGGCACGATTTTCATATTATTTTTAATTAAGGACAGACAGGGGCACACTCCAACAGTCAGACATAATTTACATACACGGTATTTGTGTTTCATGAGTCCGCCAGATCAGAGGCAGTAGGGATGACCAAGGTTATCTGTAAGTCTTCACAAGGTTTTCACACACTGTTGCTGGTATTTTGGCCCATTCCTCCATGCAGATCTCCTCTAGAGCAGTGATGTGTTGGGGCTGTCGCTGGGCAACACAGACTTTCAACTCCCTCCAAAGATTTTCTATGGGGTTGAGATCTGTAGACTGGCTAGGCCACTCCAGGACCTAGAAATGCTTCTTACGAAGCCACTCCTTCGTTGCCCGGGCGGTGTGTTTGGGATCATTGTCATGCTGAAAGACCCAGCCACGTTTCATCTTCAATGCCCTTGCTGATGTAAGGAGGTTTTCACTCAAAATCTCACGATACATGGCCCCATTAATTCTTTCCTTTACACGGATCAGTCGTCCTGGTCCCTTTGCAGAAAAACAGCCCCAAAGCATGATGTTTCCACCCCCATGCTTCACAGTAGGTATGGTGTTCTTTGGATGCAACTCAGCATTCTTTGTCCTCCAAACACGACGAGTTGAGTTTTTACCAAAAAGTTATATTTTGGTTTCATCTGACCATATGACATTCTCCCAATCCTCTTCTGGATCATCCAAATGCACTCTAGCAAACTTCAGATGGGCCTGGACATGTACTGGCTTAAGCAGGGGGACACGTCTTGCACTGCAGGATTTGAGTCCCTGGCGGCGTAGTGTGTTACTGATGGTAGGCTTTGTTACTTTGGTCCCAGCTCTCTGCAGGTCATTCACTAGGTCCCCCCGTGTGGTTCTGGGATTTTTGCTCACCGTTCTTGTGATCATTTTGACCCCACGGGGTGAGATCTTGCGTGGAGCCCCAGATCGAGGGAGATTATCAGTGGTCTTGTATGTCTTCCATTTCCTAATAATTGCTCCCACAGTTGATTTCTTCAAACCAAGCTACTTACCTATTGCAGATTCAGTCTTCCCAGCCTGGTGCAGGTCTACAATTTTGTTTCTGGTGTCCTTTGACAGCTCTTTGGTCTTGGCCATAGTAGAGTTTGGAGTGTGACTGTTTGAGACAGAGTTTATATGATAGGGCCATAATTCTGTCCCTGCTTGAGCATTCTAAATGTAACAAGTACTTTCAGGTGTAGGGAAAATGTTATGGCGTAAAAGTTATTATTTTCTTTAGGAATGTAGTGGAGTAAAAGCAAATGTTGTCAAAAATATAAATAGTAAAGTACAGATACCCCAAAAAACTACTTAAGTATTTTTACTTAAGTACTTTACTCCACTGCACTTTCCCCAGCCATACACATTTACCCCAAAGATTGTTTATTATATTGACAAGATATTAGTGACCACTCTAACAATGGAAATAAATGTCCGTAAAGATGGAAGGCAGGCGGGAGGAGGTGAGATCAGGTGGGACTATTCTAGCCAATGAGGGCAGATACACGTGTGAACAATAGGCCATAGAGATATATAGAGGACTCATCTTTGTATCTGTGCAATTATAGAGTCTGTGACAGCAATAGGCCATGCCATTGAGGCTATTTAATTTTTCTTAATTGGCTGATTTTTTCCAACTCATAGGAATCTCCACCCAGTTGACTACTTTAAAATGTTGGAAGCCTTCAATGGCAATGTCCATGCTAAAATGGATTATATCCATGATGAGTCCTCTATCTATCTCTACGACAACCGGAAAAACTCCGATATAAAGTTGTTTTGTGGTAAATTGCCGACATGCCACGGGCGTCCACTTATATCACTGCATTCGTAACAACCTAACCATTACAAAACTTCATTTCAATCAAATAAGAACAATTACATATTGTAAAGTGGTTATCCCACTGGCTATAAGGTGAATGCACCAATTTGTAAGTCGCTCTGGATAAGAGCGTCTGCTAAATGACGTAAATGTAATGTAATTACATTTTTTGTTGACCAAATTCGACACTCATTGACCTCCATACAAACATTCCTCACTTCGTGGGCTTATTTTCATGGCCAGATTTTGGGCGGAGTAAAACCTCTTGCTTCCTCTCGGTTTACCCTACCCTTCACATTCCCTAGCCCCTACGAACATACTTTCACCAGCTCCTACAGATTTACCCTACACTTTCCCTAGCCACTACACAATTCCCCTGATTTCTCTCTCTGTCCGCGTTTGAGAGCATCAAAACTGTGATGTACCATGGGTAAATTGTGAATGACTGATCGACAAATAATATTGAGTAGTTATGATGCAAGGTGATTTGTAGATCAGTCAGTCTCGACTCGCCTTTAAAGGAAAACTCCACCCAAAAACTATATTTTTGCTTGTCAGCAATCAAGTTTTCAAGATATGTAACTTTTTGCATCATATGATTCTGGGTTTTGCATCATATGATGCAAATTGCATCATACTGGGATGATTTCTGTATTTTGAAAGTTACATATCTTGAAAACCTGATTGCTGACAAGCAAAAATATAGTTTTTGGGTGGAGTTTTCCTTTAAAGTTAGCTGCAATGTTGAATGCCGCTCTCTCTCTAAAGGTCCCGTCCTTAACTGTGGACTTCATGAGACAGAGAGGAGTGGAGCTGAGAGTGCTGCAGACAGAGAAGGCCGTCACAGAATACAACAACCTGGTTGGCCAGGGAGCCAAGGTGGGTGGCGTCTTCCACTCTACCTGCTGATGACATCACACCACAGAGGTGGCCAGTAGGAGAAGTCTGAAAGCCTGGTGCGATTCAACAGGGTCATATTCATTAAAGCACACCGTAGCAAAACATTCTGCAATGGAAAATGACAATGGCCGTTTCTTATTGGACAAGTCCATGTAGTCCCTCCCTGTTTTCTTCTGTTTGGTGCCTGATGAACACAACCCTGGGGTGCATTTAGCGAGGTGAAACATTCAGAACACCTTAATGAACAGAGCTGAAATGACTTGTTGTGAATAAAGGCTTGTTTTTGTCATCTGGTTTCATTTATTGTCATTCAAAAATATTTTTTTGCCCTTAACTATAGCAACTAGGAATAGTAACACACAGATCAGACAGGTGACCTCAGTGAAACTCTGGCTTAGTCTCCCAAATGGCACCCTATTTTCTTTACAGTGGTCAAAGGTAGTGCACTATATAGGGAATATGGTGCTATTTGGGACACATCCTCATTGTAGTTGAGCAGTCAGCCAGGAGTGGCAGAGTCACACACTAACAATATAAACATATTGTTTAGTAAAAATTAACGCAGTAAGGAACGGCCAGCTTTGAGGTTTGCTCCAATGGCTGAGGACTAGCAGGTCAGGTGGGAGAGGACAACAGACAAGATAGAAAAGACTAGAGGAAGAGGAGAGAGAAAGAGAGATGGATGTTTAAAGAGGTGTGTTTGGTGTCAGCGGCGGGCAGGTTTGGGCATGATGAAGACCTTGACAGGTTTGCCGAAGGGAATCGTTCCCTCAGTGGCACCCTCTGCTGGCTGGAGGCTTTCAGTGCTGCTGTCGCTCCACGCCGCCTTACAGAGACGAGATGAGCTGTAGGCCAGTAGCAGCCTCACCTCGATCTGACACGCCTCTGAGAGAGAGAGACAGAGAGAAAGGGGCCGGGGGTGAGCTTGTGTCCTCACCGGTCCATGCGGAGTGAGACAGGTAGAATGTGTGTGGGTGTGCCCCCACTAGTCCATGTGCTGTGAGACAGGTAGTGTGTGTGTCCTCACCAGTCCATGCAGAGTGAGACAAGTAGACCTGTGTGATGAGGCGGTGGCGGTGTGGTCCAGGACTCCTGAAGTCTCCAGGTTTAGGCTGAATCACATGAGACTGGCCGTCTGGATACAGCACCTGGAGAGTGTTAAAAAAGACAAAGCGAACTATTACAGCTGGTACCAACACTTCATACATCAGCAGGAGAGAGGGCACAGCTTATATACATACCGCTAGGGTCCTGGACAAAGGCTGCATTCCGATTCTCTACCCTTCATCCAGAAATGTGCAGGTGTATCCACCTTATGCATTTACATTGGCTAGGTGTAAGCATGGCTGGAGGGAGTTTCCACTATATTCCAGGTTATTCCTTTTAAATCCATGAGGGTGAGTGTACGAGTGCACGCTTTGGGAGAAGGTTGGAGAATCATAACGCAGCTAAGGGGTGTGTGTACCAGAGACTTTATATAACAGGCTGTGTACCTGTACTTTGACAGTGTTGTGGGGGTCTTGTACGTGCTCCAGCGTAGCGTCGATGTCTAGCGCCACCACCAGGCCAGAGGTGAAACGCAGCGGGTTGTCAGACTCTCCTGTCGGTTCGATGATGGTCGCCGACGCACGCTGGACCTGGCAGTCAATACAAACCACACCTGGGTCAAATACCTGTGTGTGTGTGTGTGTGTGTGTGTGTGTGTGTGTCTGTGTCTCTGTGTACCTGCTTAGGTAATTGAAGGTTTAAGAAGCCACTCTGTCTCAATGTGGTCTGAAGAATCTTGACTAGTTCTCCAGGCTTGCAGGCCGATAGCCTAGGACTCACGTCCAACAGCTTCCCCACAAAACTTTCCTGGAGGTGGGGCAGCTCCACCACAAACAGCCTGGAGGCAGAGGTCATGATTAATCAGAATCCCAAAAGAAAAGGGTGTGCTTTCTGCAAGGTCAATGTTGCCACCTTGTGACGATAAACTAAAAACAACAGTTCAGTTCCCCAATTCATTACAAATGTATCAGTTTCTGTTTTGTCTTTTATAGGACAAATATTCTGTATTTTTGGTTTTTAACGATATCAAAAGTTGATTAAATAAAACAGATGAAATGATAGGTAGATGAAATGATAGTTGCAAAAATAAAGATAATATACCTCTGAAAGGATTCCACCTCCTGAAGGAATTTCTCACAGACACTGATGAGAGGTTCAACTCTGCAGAGAGATGAGAGGGGTTGAGTTGCTTGACAGTTATAGTCATGGACAGGTGTGTGTGTGTGGGGGGGAGGGGGTTTGTGTGTGTACTAACCCTCGCCTGGTGCGGGCAGTCAGGACTAGCTGTAAGGCCTTAGCCTGTAGTCTGACATGGTGTATGGTGGCCACCTGTCTGTTCTCCAGACCACTATATAGGAACTCCAGTTTATACGTCTCCTCCAGCATCTACAAACACACAAAACATTACATACACACAGCTCTGCACATCACATTACTGTCTAGAGGTAACACCACTGGCTGGTATGGCAGCTGCACCCTCGAGAGCATCATGACTGGTTGCATCACTGCCTGGTATGGCAACTGCAAGGCCTCCTACCGCAAGGCACTACAGAGGGTAGCGCGTACGGCCCAGTACATCACTGGGGCCAAGATTCCTGCCCTCCAGGACCTCTATACCAGGCAGTGGAAGGCCCTAAAAATTGTCAAAGACTCCAGAGTGGCGCAGCGGTTTAAGGCACTGCATCTCAGTGCTTGAGGCGTCACTACAGACCCCCTGGTTCGATTCCAGGCTGAATCACAACCGGCCGTGATTGGGAGTCCTATAGGGCGGCGCACAATTGGCCCAACGTCGTCCGGGTTTGGCCGGTGTAGGCCGTCATTGTAAATAAGAATTTGTTCTTAACTGACTTGCCTAGTTAAATAAAGGTTAAATAAATTTAAAAAAAACCTAGTCATAGACTGTTCTCTCTGCTTCCGCACGGCAAGCGGTACCGGAGCGCCAAGTCTAGGTCCAAGAGGCTTCTAAACAGCTTCTACCCCCAAGCCGTAAGACCCCTGAACATCTAATCAAATGGCTACCCAGACACATATACACTGAGATTACAAAACATTGCTCTTTCCATGACATAGACTGACCAGGTGACCCTTATTGATGTAACTTGTTAAATCCACTTCAAAATCAGTGTAGATGAAGGGGAGGAGAAAGTTTAAAGAAGGAATTTTAAGCCTTGAGAAAATTGAGAGATGGATTGTGTATGTGTACCATTCAGAGGGTGAATGGGCAAAACAAAAAATGTAAGTGCCTTTGAACGTGTATGGTAGTAGATGCCAGGTTCACCGGTTTGTGTCAAGAACTGCAACGCTGCTGAGTTTTTCACACTCATCAGTTTCCTGTGTGTATCAAGAATGGTTCACCACCCAAAGGACATCCAGCCAACTGTGGGAAGCATTGGAGTCAACATGGGCAAGCATCCCTGTGGAATACTTTCAACACCTTGTAGAGTCCATGCCCCAACAAATTGAGGCTGTTTTGAGGGCATGCAACTCAATATTAGGAAGGTGTTCCTAATGTTTTGTACACTCAGTGTCTATGCTCCTCTTCCCACCGGAGACCAGGGTTCAATCCCCCCTTCAACCCATATCTACCATCTACCTGTATCCCCCCCATTTCAAATCCGTCTAAATAAAGTGAAAAAGACTACAAAAAAAGCACATTCGTGTGTGTGTGTGTACCTGTTTGGCAGCAGCAGTTGCCATGGCGTTGTCTTTAAGGCAGAGGGGGACGGCCATGGTCCATAACTTCTCCTGCAAGGCCTGTGGAAGGACACAAGGAGAGGAGACAAGGAGATGAGGAAAGGCTATACGATTTGGGCATTCTGGTCAAATGTAATGCAGACAGACACCGGTCTATCCAGATCCAGACACACACCTTGGTGAGCAGTAGCTGGCAGCGGAGGTAGGTGGCAGAGAAGTCAGCAGCCCCTGCCAGCTCTGTCTGTAGCTCCCCCAGTCTCTGTAGGTCTCTGAGAGGATACACACACCACACACAAAATATTCGCTTCAAAAATTGTTTTCAATGTTTTGATAGTATGTGTTTGTGGATGTGTGTGTGTGTACCTGATAGTAAAGTTGAGCAGGTCCTGAGCCCCGGGGTCCTGTAGGTTGTGTATGGTGCTAATTCTGCTCAGACTCTGTTGGAGGAACAGCTGAGCAGACTCCACACTGCCGGAACCTTCTATACCACTCACACCTGGGGCCTGCTTCCTCCCTGGTAACTACACACATACACAGCATCATAACACAGATTATAAACTGGGTGGTTCGAGCCCTGAATGCTGATTGGCTGACAGCCGTGTTATATCAGACCGTATACCACGGGTAAGACAAAACATATATTTTTACTGCTCTAATTACGTTGGTAACCACCTTATAATAGCAATAAGGCACTTCAGGGGTTTGTGGTATATGGCCAATATACCACGGCGAAGGGCTGTATCCAGGCACTCCACATTTCGTTGTGCATAAAAACCGCTCCCTCGGGCCTTATTGCTTAATTATAACACAGTGGGTCTTGACATAGATTGGTGGGTCTAGTGTCTGAAAGGGGTGTGTGTGTGTCTTACCCTGAGAGGAGGTACTAGGTGAGAGAGGCTGTCCCGTAGGTAGGTGTAGTGTCTAAAGGTGTGGTCTGAGAACAGAGCTGTCATGGTGGGACAAGACTGAGCTGCGTTGAACACCAGCACCAACACTGCAATATCTGTTACGCTAGGTCAGGAACACACAACACAGAGGTAGGTGTGTGTGTGTGTGTGTGTGTGTGTGTGTAGGATACAGGCAGGGTCGTCCATGTCTGGTTCAGGGGTGTGGAAGTAGGGGTGAGTACTGAGCAGCTCTGGAACCAGCGGTAACACCAGGGTAGGATGACGACAACCTAGAAACTTTAGACACCTAGAGAGAGAATGAGAGGGAGAGTGAGAAAGAGGGAGAGATGAAGAGAAAGAGACAGAAAGAGAGAGCATGTTGAGTTTTAAAAGCATTTTTATTGAATCACTTGCAAAGTGACACACACACACACACAGGCTTACTTCCAGACAGAGTTGCGGTCGGTGGGGTACTTGGTGAGGTTCTTCAGCAGCTCCAGCAGGGCCAGTTGGATACACTCTTTAGTCGACACATTGGTGAAACACAACAACTCATGTAGCGCCTCTCTGATGTCACGAGACGAGTCCTACACAGGTTACACATTTCAGTTGATTATTTTTAACATTTAGAAATGTTCTTCTTTCAACTTGTAAGTGTGAAAAGTGTGTGTGTGTGTGTGCATGCGTGTGTGTTGGCGCGTGCATGTGTACGTGTCTCCATATATATGTGTTGGTGTGTGTGTTACCTCTAGAACAGCCAGTACAGTATCCAGCTGGTCTTCTCTCAGGGTGATGTTAATAGAGATTTGTCTCAGGACGTGGATGGACTGCAGCCTGACTTCCTCAATCTCATCATTAAACATGTCAACCAGGAAGTCCAGGCACTTCTCAGCAAAGCTAGCAGATGATTGGGCAAGAGCAGAGAGTGCATCCACAGCAGCAATACGCACCTCTACAGATAAAACACACAGTGTCACATTATAATTTACACACACAAAACCCACGCGCACACAAACAAACACACACTCTCTCTCTGAGCCTCCACAGCCTTTACAGAAACAAAGAAAACATAATACACACACAGAGACACCCCCCAAACACCACCACACTTACCCAAACACAACCACACTTACCGTACATCTCGTCCTCCAGTCCATGTACGAAGGCTCCGCAGGCCCCCGAGGCGATCAGGTTGACAGCTGAGGTGTCCACCTTCTCCTTGGGAGCATCATCAGCCCATTTCCTCCCTGAGGAGAACTCACCAGACGCATAGAGCTCCTTGGCCCGCTCATGAGCAGTACGTTTCCTCTGAGATATAACATTATTATTAATACATGCAAAAAAATATTTAACCTTTATTTAACCAGGTAAGACCCATTGAGGTTAGAAACCTCTTTTGAGGGGGCGACCTGGCAAGAAGGCAAAACGGAAATAGCAGCAAGTACATAAAATGTAACAAAAAATACAAATACACAAGTTACAAGTTAAATATATCTGAAGATGAATGGTTTTGCTAAAACACTTGTAACACTTCAAACAAACAAACAGCGAGACACACATGCTCAGCAGAACTGTCCTGCCACCATCTTGATGACACTATAATAATATAATATAATATAATATGCCATTTAGCAGACGCTTTTATCCAAAGCGACTTACAGTCATGCGTGCATACATTTTTGTGTATGGGTGGTCCCGGGGTTCGAACCCACTACCCTGGCATTACAAGCGCCGTGCTCTACCAGCTGAGCTACAGAGGACCACTACTACACTACACACAGATTACATTACATAGAGCTCCTTGGCCCGCTCATGTGCCGTACGTTTCCTCTGAAACATACACTGAACAAAAATATAAACGCAACAATTTCAAAAGATTTTACTGAATTACAGTTCATATAAGGAAATCAGTCTATTGAAATAAATTAATTCGGCCCTAATCTATGGATTTCACATAACTGGGAATACAGATATGCATATGTTGGTCAAAGATACCTTTAAAAAAGGTTAGGAGCGTGGATCAGAAAACCAGTCAGTATCTGGTGTGACCACCATTTGCCTCATGCGGCGCAACATATCTCCTTTGCATAGAGTTGATCAGGCTGTTGATTGTTGCCTGTGGAATGTTGTCCCACTCCTCTTCAATGGCTGTGCGAAGTTGCTGGATATGGCGGGAACTGGAATACGCTGTCGTACACGTCGATCAAGAGCATCCCAAACATACTCAATGGGTGACATATCTGGTAAGTATGCAGGCCATGGAAGAACTGGGACATTTTCAGCTTCCAGGAATTGTGTACAGATCCTTGCGACATGGGGCCGTGCATTATCATGCGGAAACATGAGGTGATGGCGGCGGATGAATGCCACGACAATGGGCCTCAGGATCTCATCACGATGTCTCTGAGCATTCAAATTACCATAGATAAAATGCAATTGTGTTTGTTGTCCGTAGCTTATGCCTGCCTATACCATAACCCCACCTCCACCATGGGGCTCTCTGTTCATAACGTTGACATCAGCAAACCACTCGCCCACACGAAGCCATATCTGCCATCTGCCCGGTACAGTTAAAACTGTGATTCATCCGTGAAGAGCACACTTCTCCAGCGTGCCAGTGGCCATCGAAGGTGAGCATTTGCCCACCAAAGTTGCTTACGACGCCGAACTGCAGTCAGGTCAAGGCCCTGGTGAGGACGACAAGCATGCGGATGAGCTTCCCTGAGTCCGTTTCTGACAGTTTGTGCAGAAATTCTTCGGTTGTGCAAACCCAGTTTCATCAGCTGTCCGGGTGGCTGGTCTCAAGACGATCCCGCAGGTGAAGAAGCCGGATGTGGAGGTCCTGAGCTGGTGTGGTTACACGTGGTCTGCAGTTCTGAGGCCAGTTGGAAGTACTGCCAAATTCTCTAAAACGACATTGGCGTCGGCTTATGGTAGAGAAATTAACAGTAAATTATCTGGCAACAGCTCTGGTGGACATTCCTTCAATCAACATACCAATTGCGCGCTCCCTCAAAACTTGAGAGATCTGTGGCACTGTGTTGTGTGACAAAACTGCACATTTTAGAGTGGCCTTTTATTGTTCCCAGCACAAGGTGCACCTATGTAATGATCATGTTGTTTAATCAGCTTCTTGATATGCCACACCTGTCAGGTGGATGGATTATCTTGGCAAATGAGAAATGCTCACTAACAGGGATGTAAACAAATGTGTGCACAACATTTGAGAGAAATAAGCTTTTTGTGCGTATGGTATTTTTTTGGGGATCTTTTATTTCAGCTGATGAAACATGGGACCAACACTTTACATGTTGCATTTCTATTTTTGTTCAGTGTAGATAACAATATGTATAGATTACACTACATATTTACTTTATTACATCTAGATTACATAGATCTCATTGGCCTGCCTATGAGCCGTACATTTCCTTTGAAATATACATTATTATAAATAAATTACAAATAAAATGCTGTATGCTTCCTCTGAAAATACATTTTACACACATACACACAGTGTACGTACCCTGAGGTCTGACATCAGCTTCTTGTCCAGAGTCTGCTCTAGGAAGTGAGGACTGACCTGCAACATATTACCCTGAGGAAGAGAGGTATGAGTGGAGGAGGAGGAAAGGAGAACCATGGCTATCTGAAAAGTAAAGTAAGATGTGAACGAGTGGTTTGTGTGTGTGTGTACTCACCAGTGTTTTGGCGGCCTGCACCCTGACTACCCAGGATCCATCAGAGACCATGTGACTGATCTTCCCAAACGAGTCGTCGACCAGACGGACTTGCTCATTGGATGACGGGATAGGCACGATGCTGATTGGACAGATGACACCTTTATTCACCAATCACACAGCAGTTTTCATCCCCCCAGTCAGTGTGCAGTGTTGGGCTTGTTTGACATTGCAGCTGACATTGCAAGCGATTGCTGACTGACTGATCTACAAATCGACTTGCATCATAAATAACCACTCATTATCGTTTGTAGATCAGTCTGTCAGTCACAAGTTACCCACAATGAATCATGGATTTAGTGCTCTTGAACACAGCCAGTATGTGTGTGTGTACGTACGTGTGTGTCTGTATGTGTGTGTTTTACCTCTCTGGATAGATCTGACTCAGGACCCACACCATCTGAACGGCAGCCGAACGCACCTGCTCATAGTCATCACACAGCAGCCGACAGGCCTAGACACACACAATTAGAGAGAAACACACACACACACACACACACACAGCAACCTAGAGGCTTGGAAAGAAACACAAACACACTCTCTACCTGGTCATATATGGTCTGTTGAATCTTCAGTCCCCTTTCATGTAGTTGCAGCTGAAAGGAAGAGCAGAACATTGAATAATCAATCAGTCAATATAATCTATCTAGCCTCTGGACATATGCCAATAGTCTACAGAGGCTTCCTACAGTGGGGCAAAAAAGTATTTAGTCAGCCACCAATTGTGCAAGTTCTCCCACTTAAAAAGATGAGAGAGGCCTGTAATTTTCATCATAGGTACACGTCAACTATGACAGACAAATTGAGAAAAAAAATTCCAGAAAATCCCATTGTAGGATTTTTAATGAATTTATTTGCAAATTATGGTGGAAAATAAGTATTTGGTCACCTACAAACAAGCAAGATTTCTGGCTCTCACAGACCTGTAACTTCTTCTTTAAGAGGCTCCTCTGTCCTCCACTCGTTACCTGTATTAATGGCACCTGTTTGAACTTTGTTATCAGTATAAAAGACACCTGTCCACAACCTCAAACAGTCGCACTCCAAACTTCACAATGGCCAAGACCAAAGAGCTGTCAAAGGACACCAAAAACAAAATTGTAGACCTGCACCAGGCTGGGAAGACTGAATCTGCAACAGGTAAGCAGCTTGGTTTGAAGAAATCAACTGTGGGAGCAATTATTAGGAAATGGAAGACATACAAGACCACTGATAATCTCCCTCGATCTGGGGCTCCACGCAAGATCTCACCCCGTGGGGTCAAAATGATCACAAGAACGGTGAGCAAAAATCCCAGAACCACACGGGGGGACCTAGTGAATGACCTGCTGAGAGCTGGGACCAAAGTAACAAAGCCAACCATCAGTAACACACTACGCCGCCAGGGACTCAAATCCTGCAGTGCGAGACGTGTCCCCCTGCTTAAGCCAGTACATGTCCAGGCCCGTCTGAAGTGCATTTGGATGATCCAGAAGAGGATTGGGAGAATGTCATATGGTCAGATGAAACCAAAATATAACTTTTTGGTAAAAACTCAACTCGTCATGTTTGGAGGACAAAGAATGCTGAGTTGCATCCAAAGAACACCATACCTACTGTGAAGCATGGGGTTGGAAACATCATGCTTTGGGGCTGTTTTTCTGCAAAGGGACCAGGACGACTGATCCGTGTAAAGGAAAGAATGAATGGGGCCATGTATCGTGAGATTTTGAGTGAAACCCTCCTTCCATCAGCAAGGGCATTGAAGATGAAACGTGGCTGGGTCTTTCAGCATGACAATGATCCCAAACACACCGCCCGGGCAACGAAGGAGTGGCTTCGTAAGAAGCATTTCAAGGTCCTGGAGTGGCCTAGCCAGTCTCCAGATCTCAACCCCATAGAAAATATTTGGAGGGAGTTGAAAGTCTGTGTTGCCCAGCGACAGCCCCAAAACATCACTGCTCTAGAGGAGATCTGCATGGAGGAATGGGCCAAAATACCAGCAACAGTGTGTGAAAACCTTGTGAAGACTTACAGAAAACGTTTGACCTGTGTCATTGCCAACAAAGGGTATATAACAAAGTATTGAGAAACTTTTGTTATTGACCAAATACTTATTTTCCACCATCATATGCCAATAAATTCATTAAAAATCCTACAATGTGATTTTCTGGATTTTTTTTTCTAATTTTGTCTGTCATAGTTGACGTGTACCTATGATGAAAATTACAGGCCTCTCTCATCTTTTTAAGTGGGAGAACTTGCACAATTGGTGGCTGACTAAATACTTTTTTTCCCCACTGTATATGTTTGGAGTAGACATCCAGCTAACTTTCACCTGTCCTGTGTTTTCAGAGCAGTGCAGACTATTGAGAGGCCTCTCAATATCCACTCAATAGACTGAAGCATTGTTTTGGGAATGCATTCTAAGTGAGCATGCTAGTATGTATATTGGGACGTAACAGGAGGAAGTGAGGTCATACCATGGCTTTGATGGCCGCAGTGCGCACCCTTGGGTCCTGGTCGGCAAAGTAGTCACTGATGACGCTCTGCGCGTCTCTCACACACACTCCGCCAGACACCCCTTAAAGGAGGAGGAAGGGAAGGTGGAAAGTAGTCACTGATAACACACTGCTGTTGCACATCCCACACACATACACATCTCTCACAGATATGGACATGGTGATGTGATGAGGGGACTAGTCTGGTTAAATTAAATTAAGTAAATAAACATGTCATGTAGTAAATGTTTTTATTGTTGTTGACTCAACTACCCTAGTTAACACAAATAAATATACACACCTGGAGCACCGCCCCCAATCACAGCTGGAACCAATCCCTGTCCATCTTTATTTAAGGGCGTGTCCACGTTGCACAGGCAACCCAGGAGTTGCAGGCATTTATTCCTCACACCGAAATATGTATCTGACAGGTGCTGAGAGAGACAAATTAGAGGGATAAGATGAGAGAGGGGGATGAGAGCGATCAATGAGAGAGGCGGATGAGCGAGAGAGGGATGAGAGAGATTAATGAAAAAACTTGCAGACCACATCTGTGTGTGTGTTACCTTGCAGGCCACCTCTATGAGTCTGTGTCTAACAGTAGGGCTTTCTGGGAGCTGGGTGCCGATGACCAGCAGAGTGTCCAGCAGCTGAGCCAGGATCTGGTGGGACTCTGGACACACACACGGAGAAGAAAACACAGAGAGAGACATGGAATTGGTCAGAGAAGATATGGGATACTAAGTGTGTGTATCAGAGTGTAACTTACTCTCTGTGTTGAATGTGTTGAGGGTGTCATCTAGGATAGTCTCAGGGTTGAAGTTCTGGGTCTTACTAAGCAGACCGATCAGAGAGGCAATCTTCAGCCGCACCGAGTTATCCTGCTCCTACAGAGACATAGATACACACACACACAGTTACAAGTTATCACTTTTCTACAGGAAGACACAAGAGCAATGTGAGGGAAAGAAGGGATAGAAGAAGGAGAGGCAGAAATAAAGAAGTAGGAGGGGAGAAAGGAGGCACCATGGAAGGAGGGGAGAAGATATCTGCTCTTAGCAACGCAGGTGTATTTACATACACTAGCGTTGCTTTCAATTGTATTGGGTTGCACAAAAACAGTCCTCGGGAAGCCAGAAGTTAAATACAATTCAATTTCAACTTACTGTGCCGGTGGGCAGGAAGGTTGGTCATTATGACGGGGGGAATTTGCCACAAAATATCTAAAGGATTGTGTTATTAAACAGACTTTCCAAACGTTGGTCTGTTGTAAACCCACTTCTTCTCTGCTTACCTCATGTCAAAATAAAAGTCCCCCACAAGTTATTCATTTTTTGTCCACATATGGCGCATGTGCAGGACTTTTATTTTGACATGAGGTAAGCAGAGAGTACATTGGCACAGTACGTTGAAATGTAATATTATTGAACTTCTGGCTTTCCGTGCAACCCAATACAATTGAAAGCAAGGCTAGTGTATGTAAATAGACCCGCATTGCTAAGAGCAGCTAGGGAGAGGAGGGCTGCTTTACCTTGTAATAGTGTTCCAGGAGGAGAGAGATGTAAGGTAGAAAGAGAAGAGAAAGGACAGAAGGAGAAGATGGAGGGATGGAAGAAGAGATGGGAGGATGGAAGGATTAAAGCCAGGGCCACCATACCTTGTAGTAGTGTTCCAGCAGTATGCGCACCACCCCCTCCACACTCTCTGCCTCCACGGAGCTGCGGGCGAAGTGCAGCAGGTACTGCAGGGCATCAGTGGGGTTGGAGGCCTTACACAGGTCAATATGCAGCGCTGCAGACTTACTTGGTTTGGTCAGACGGAGCTTCTTGGCTGGAGCCTCCTCTTGGGGAAGCTGTTGATCAACAGAGACAATGGATTACCTTTTATTTTTCATTTTGTGATATGAGATGATACGGATCTGGACAGCCAAACAGCATATCTAAAGCTGTAGGGATCGAACTATAGCAAGGCTCTAGACAAAGCTAGCCAGGTCCCAGATCTGTTTGTGCCCTTGCCTACTCTATTGCTGCCCTTTTCATGATTTGCATGATCATAACACAAACAGACTGGCACTCAGGCTGTACACCAGCTAGCTAACTAGCTACCACTGGCCATTTGTTCAGATCCCTGTGACCCAACGTAGTTAGCAACTTTTCTACGAGGCCTATATAATATATATATCTAGCTAAAGTTAATGAAAGAGGATGCATGATGTCATCAAAAACTATGTGATGTTATTGCGGGATGCAATAAGTTAACAGTAGCTAGCTACGAAACACTCGGACACAGCCTGAGTCTAACGTTAGCTATCTGGTTTGCTAGTATAGACAGAACAACGATGGTTAAAAGGTGAATGTTTCGTTTTTTTCCATAACCATGCGTCTACCAACCTGGACAACTTTTGGAAAATTCCTCGTAAACTCGCTTTTTGAGATGTGCTGCCATTTCCAAAGAAGTTAACTAGCTAGCTGTAGCTACCAGTATTTTTTTGTTTGTTGAAAGCGCCCAACACCATCGTCATCAAGCATCGACGGAACTCGCAATTCTGGGTATAAATACACTTCCGGTTCCTTAACAATTTCTTTCCTGTCAGCGGCCTCCGGCAAGATGGCGGTACAAATCTCCAAAAAGAGGAAGGTTAGTTCACGTTTCGTACCAAAATTCTATTCATAACTGATGCATTTGTAGCAAATTGGGATGCCATGTGTTAGCAGCATGAATACGGAGTTGATTGTAGTATTGATCGGGGTCCTCGTCCCCTAGTCTAAAGAGGATTGACACAGATGCTAGTTACCGGTACAACGAATCCTCACTTCGATAGAGAACGTGTCAAGTGGTGCCTTTTATACCGTACTAGTGAGTAAGTATAGCCATAATAACACCAAAGCATTTAGTTGCAAGTCTGATTGTCGAAGTGGTGTGTATGTAGATTGGTGGTCAGTGTCTAGTTGGCTAATGTTCACGTCACACAGGTGGCAGCCTACTTTATTTTAACATTGGCGTTACCCAGTGCACCAACAATGTAACTTGCTGGCCAGTGATGTTACCTACATTTACATTTTAGTCATTTAGCAGACGCTCTTATCCAGAGTGACTTACAGTTAGTGAATACATTTTTTAAATATTGGCCCCCCATGGGAATCGAACCCACAACCCTGGCGTTGCAAACGCCATGCTCTATCAACTGAGCTACATCCCTGCCGGCCATTCCCTCCCCTACCCTGGACAACGCTGGGCCAATTGTGCACTGCCCATGAGTCTCCCGGTTGCGGCCGGCTGCGACAGAGTCTGGATTCGAACCAGGATCTCTAGTGGCACAGTTAGCACTGCGATGCAGTGCCTTAGACCACTGCGCCACTCAGTTGCAGGTTCACTAGCGGCTATGTGACTACACGCATGTTCCCTACAACCTGGCTAACAATGTACTCATTTTTTGTGCACGGTTAGTTCGTCGCGGACGGAATCTTCAAAGCCGAGCTGAACGAGTTCCTGACGCGCGAGCTTGCGGAGGATGGCTACTCTGGTGTGGAGGTGCGTGTGACTCCGACCAGGACCGAGATCATCATCCTGGCCACAAGGTAAAGTTACCGGTATGTTGGTAGCTAGTGGTGTTATACTGGATTTAAAGGGTTATTGTTAGTAGTATAATTAATTGGTGTAGGGTTGGGCGGTTTCCATATTTCCATATCCAGATGTGCCATCCCGGATATACGGTAAATTACCGGTAGTGCACACAAGGTTCCCTATTTTATTTCTCCAAGAAACGCAAGAACAATCTTTAAAAAGTTCACTTTCAGAGTGCTAACTAGTACTAAGGAATTCTCATAGCGGATGCTATGTTAATGAGCGCATGCGAACATTTACTACTAGGACAGACAACCTGGCTCATGCAAGTATCTCAAAATGCGGTTTGCAGCAAGCTCAAAACAAATATTAGGCAGCAGGGATCATAATAATCCAGGAGGGGCTGACACGACCCTCCAGCATGACAATGCCACCATCCATACTGCTCGTTCTGTGCGTGATTTCCTGCAAGACAGGAATGTCAGTGTTCTGCCATGGCCAGCAACGAGCCCGGATTGCAATCCTATTGTGCACCTCTGGGACCTGTTGGATCGGAGGGTGAGGGCTAGGGCCATTCCCCCCAGAAATGTCCGGGAACTTGCAGGTGCCTTGGTAGAAGAGTGGGGTAACATCTCACAGCAAGAACTGGCAAATCTGGTGCAGTCCATGAGGAGGAGATGCTCTGCAGTACTTAATGCAGCTGGTGGCCACACCAGATACTGACACTTACTTTTGATTCTGACCCCCCCTCCCTTTGTTCAGGGACACATTATTCCATTTCTGTTAGTCACATGTCTGTCGAACTTGTTCCGTTTGTCTGTTGAATCTTGTTATGTTCATACAAATATTTACACATGTTAAGTTTGCTTAAAACAAACAGTTGACAGTGAGAGGACGTTTCTTTTCTGTTGAGTTTAGCTACTAAATTAGCAAATCAAATTCACAACTGCAGAGTATTTAAGCGCACTTTAGACAGTTAACTTAATAGTTATAAGATATCTAGATGGCAAACGTTGATGTGAATTCCATACTGTAATTAGATCACCTGGCACATGCTGCACGAGGCTCCGGTCTCTTGTCATTGTGTGCTTGTAAACAAACACAATGTGACACATGACTGGGGACTACCGTAAGCTACATAATAATAATAATATGCCATTTAGCAGACGCTTTTATCCAAAGCGACTTACAGTCATGCGTGCATACATTTTTTTTGTGTATGGGTGGTCCCGGGGATCAAACCCACTACCTTAGCGTTACAAGCACCGTGCTCTACCAGCTGAGCTACAGAGGATTATCTCCTAATGTATTGCACAAGTTGACTACAGGTATTTACTTAGTAGCTACAAATATTCAAATGCATAAAAAAAACGTAGTTTCTCAGGACACACAGCTGTAGGCTATTTGTGCAAGGAATAAGATGTAATCAGGTACATTTTTCCCATTCATGCAGAGTGGTTATCGAACACATTGGAAACTATTGACATTGTCAATGGATTCTAAAAACAGACTTTGTTTACTTGCTGTTTGAGGTGAAGAAAAAATAACTTAGTGGTGGTGAGTTAAGATGATCAGAAATACGTCATACACCCCCAAATAGGCACATTTCTGGGCTACATTTGGGCGCAGGCCAGGTAGCCTAGGCCTACTTCTATATTCATAATACTTACTCAACATTGACAGGAGTGCTCCAAAGAAAAGACAATTAATAAATTGACGTAAATGGAATTAAATAAACCAAAACTTGTTTCTCACAAATGTAGCATTGGTTGTGAGCTCTGCAAACAACGTGTCCACTCACGCAATGAGCAAGGTAAATTACTGTAATAATAATATTGAATGCATTCACAGAAATTACCATAACCAAACAACCATTGTGGGAATTAACAGTCCACTGAGACAGGTGCAAATCACAGGTGTCGCGTGTGCCATGAAAACATTTTTTTGCGACTGCTCGACAAAAAAACTATTGGTTGACCAAACCGGCTATCGACCAGTCAACTAAATGGGGTCAGCCCTACACCCCTGGTGCGTTAGGTTGTTTAGGTGCCTAGTTAAGTATGTGGTTGGTGAAAGTGGTCTGCTTTAGAAAGGGCCATGTTGCCAAAGTGTGATATCATTATGAGAACTGGTCTTGCATGCTAGCTACTGTCCTGCATCATTGAAACTAATCTGCATTTACTAACTCAAAAGGATCTATTGATTCGAATGAAATGAATAAGTTGGTTTTTAAATATGAGAACCTGTTAAATACGGCTCGAACTTTCATGAACACACGATGACTGATAACTGATTGCATACATGGAGAACATGTAGTAATGACGTATTATTGTTGTTTCAGGACCCAGAATGTTCTGGGAGAGAAGGGCCGTCGCATCCGGGAGCTGACCGCTGTTGTTCAGAAGAGGTTTGGCTTCCCTGAGGGCAACGTGGAGGTAAACGGATACGCATACACTAAACACACTACAGACTCGTACATATACACATTAGACATACTCCCTAACCCCAGCTGAGAACTGTGGTTCAGAAGAGGTTTGGCTTCTGAGGGCAGTGTGGAGGATAGAGGAATAAGATTGTGTGAAGTTTAAATGAAAACACGTGTGAATTCCACAGATTTTTAAATGTGTTAATCAATGTAAAACAACCAACCTCTGTGTCTAAAGGAAGAATCAATGACTGAAAAAGCTCTAGCGTTGCCTTTGCACCAGACTGTTAACCAGAAACTGCTTTCCTTCAGTGATGATACGATGACGAGTCGGAACGGGACACAGTCCGTCTCTGTGGTCACTGGGTCAGGGTCACGTTCTGTGTCTCTGGGTTCAGTTCCCCAGAGCAGCGGTCTCTTCAATTGAAGACATCGAGGCATTTGTCTGAGAAGGGCTCAATCCAGTACAGGAAATGTGTGGATTCAGATGGTTTCTTGTTAGAGTCAGGTGGCTAGTTGGGTAAGATGAAGGTAGTCAGCGATGCATGAAGTTGTCAGTGTTCTAGAGACTATTTCCACCACAACTAAGAATGTGAATTGCGAGGCTACAATTGTCTACTGTGGTGGTTCCGCGGCTATCACATTGCAGCACCTGCACCAAGCTGTAGGCTGTGTAGCCTCTCCCAATCTCTCTCTGTATGTGTAGAAGGTTAACCTCCCCACTCTCCCTCTCTAGCTGTACGCCGAGAAGGTTGCAACCCGTGGTCTTTGTGCCATTGCTCAGGCTGAGTCTCTGCGCTACAAGTTGCTGGGAGGTCTGGCTGTACGTAGGTAAGCCTAACCCTGACCTCTAACATGTTGCACCTAGACACTGATCAAAGGTCTGTTATGCATTAACCTGTAATGGTACAGGTTAGGATTTGGGAAGGTAAGCTGGTTCTAGTTCTCTTCAGGAGAATATTGGCACTTGTCTAAGAAGGGCCAGGAAAATGGCTCATAATGTCAGATGTGATCTAAGTCCTGTATAAGTTGACGTGTGTATTAAACCCATTTTTTTTCTCCTATCCCAACCCCCCCCCCCCCCCCGTTTTCCTCCACTTTTCCTCCTCGCCCCCCTCTCCTTTCTTCCTCTCTACCCTCACCCGCTCTCTTTCCTTCACCATCTCTCTTCTCTTTCCTCCATCCCTTTCCTCTCTCTATCCCCCCTCCCAGAGCTTGCTATGGTGTGCTGAGGTTCATCATGGAGAGTGGCTCTAAGGGTTGTGAAGTGGTGGTTTCTGGGAAGCTGAGGGGTCAGAGGGCCAAGTCCATGAAGTTTGTTGATGGCCTGATGATCCACAGTGGAGACCCAGTCAACTACTACGTAGACACCGCTGTACGCCATGTCCTGCTCCGACAGGGTAAGTACCAAATCAACCCCTAGACAATACACTACTACTCTACCCCTAGACACTACTAATGGTTAGACAGAGTGAATACCAAATAAACCCCTATACCTTACTCCTAGATGATTCTGCTCTGTCAAGGTGAATCACAAAAATTAGAATTTTTGGTCTGTTGCTTTTTAAAGGTGAATGTTTTCCTTCAGTGATGATACGATGACGAGTCGGAATGGGCCACTGTCGGTCTCTGGGGTCGCTGGGTCAGGGTCATGTTCTGTGTGTCTGGGTTCACTTCCCCAGAGCAGCGTGTCTCTTCAGTTGAAGACATCGAGGCATTTGTCTGAGAAGGGCCAGGAATGACTTAAGTCTAGTCATATTATGATCAACTTCTTTCTTGCTACACCACACATGGGCTAACCCTCATACTCTATTCTATACGCTTCACTGTTCTACGTCTACGTACGCAGAATAACCATTTGGTAGAGGGTCCGTCTAAGCACTGATGTGTCCATGTATGTGTTTTTGTCTGTCTCAGGTGTGCTGGGCATCAAGGTGAAGATCATGTTACCATGGGACCCCAGTGGTAAGATCGGCCCCAAGAAGCCTCTGCCAGACCATGTGAGCATTGTGGAGCCCAAAGACGAGACTATCCCCTCCACCCCCCAGTCGGAGCAGAAGGGGGCCAAGCCAGAAGCCCCAGCAGCCATGCCACCGACTCCTGTACCCACCGCATAGTAGACAGGTACTATACCCTAACACTAACCCAGCCACTGCATAGTAGAAATGTACTGTACTATAAATCTGTGGTTCTCAGCTGGTTTTGCTTCGGGACCCAAATTTAACCAGGTTACCTCAGTCGTGACTCAATTTGCATTGTGGGGGAAAACCACATGCAATCTGGAAAATTATTTTTAATGCTAGATTGATAATGTAGTAGTTGTTGAGGAGGCTTGTGGTAGTGAAAGGACTCCATAATTGTCTCATTTAAAATGCTGCACCAAAGTGTCTATCCCAGGGTGTGATACACTAAGTTTGTTTACTTTCAGGGCGACTTATTAGTTTAGTGTTAGTTTACTCCTCCCTTCAGTGATGATACGATGACGAGTCGGAACGGGACACAGCCTGTCTGGGGTCACTGGGTCAAGGTCACGTTCTGTGTCTCTAGGTTCAGTTCCCCAGATCAGCGTGTCTCTTCAGTTGAAGACATTGAGGCATTTGTCTGAGAAGGGCTTCCTGACTTTATCAAATATCTGCATCCTATATGGCACCCTGTTCCCTTTTCTATTGCACTACTTTTGACCAGGATCCATAGGGCTCTGTTCGAAAGCAGTACACTGTATTGGGAATGGTGGTGCCATTTGAGTCAGAAAATATACTGCTGGCTAAATAAATGACCTTGAGCATGTTTCTAGACTATGTTGAGCATGTAGCAAAGCTACTGTATGTTGTGTTTTAATTCATGCGCTGTGAATCAGGTAGGGTTGGGGATGGTGTCCTAATGTCTGGTATTCTGTCTTCTCCAGGTGTCAGCCATTGTTCATAGATGGAAGCAGAACCCTGAATTTTTCTGTACAAAAATAAAACCTGGGAAATAAATACACCTTGTGTTTGTCTCGACATGTGAAATATTCCTGTTCCCAACCATAATAATAATATGCCATTTAGCAGACGCTTTTATCCAAAGCGACTTTGTCATCTGTGCATACATTTTTACGTATGGGTGGTCCCCGGGATCGAACCCACTACCCTGGCGTTACAAGCGCCGTGCTCTACCAATTACATTTACATTTTAGTCATTTAGCAGACGCTCTTATCCAGAGCGACTTACAGGAGCAATTAGGGTTAAGTGCCTTGCTCAAGGGCACATTTACGTCATTTGGCAGACGCTCTTATCCAGAGCGACTCACAAATTGGTGCATTCACCCTATAGCCAGTGGGATAACCACTTTACAACTTTACAATTGGATGAGACCAATTGAGCTACAGAGGACCACATTGAGCTATAAATAATAATTGGTTGGTTTGTGGCCCTTTTAGAATTGGAGAATGGTAAGGAGCAAGGACTCTTGGTAGCCAGGTAAGGAAATATCTACTTAAAAAAAAAAAAAACTATCCCTTTGTTTTTGGAGAATAATATACCTTATAAAAACATACAACTATTCATAAATTAGTACCAACAAAGGACAGAGACTTCAATTGTTTTATTGTTTATAAACAAGGCTTGTTGATGTGTTATAGACCCGGGTTCGATCCCGGACTGTATCACAACCGGCAGTGATCGGGCACCCCATAGGGTGGCGCACAATTGGCCCAGCATCGTCCGGGTTAGGGGAGGGGAGGGCCGTCATTGTAAAACAGAATTTGTTCTTAACTGACTTGCCTGGTAAAATAAAAAGTAGGACATTCAACACTTAACTATCCCATATCTGAAGGACTACGGAACCCTCTTCTGGTAATTAACCCCGATATCAAAGAATATACTGGCCTTTCCACACCCGTGTTGGGGTTATTTACTTGTTGCTAGTAGTTTATTTTATACTGAACAAAAATATACAGCAAATTGAATTTGTCACATGTGCCGACTACAACCGGATGAGACCGTACAGTGAAATGCTTACTTACAAGCCCTTAAACAACAATGCAGTTTAAGAAAGAATACCTTTTTTAAAAAAGAAATAAAAGTAACATAATTAAAGAGCAAATTTTTTTTTTCTTCATTTTAGCGATGCTCTTATCCAGAGCGACTTACAGGAGCAATTAGGGTTAAGTGCCTTTCTCAAGGACACATCGACAGATTTTTCACCTAGTCAGCTTGGGGATTAGAACCAGCGACCTTTCGGTTACTGGCACAAAATAACAATAGCGAGGCTATATACAGGGGGTACCGAGTCAATGTGCGGGGGCACCGGTTAGTCAAGGAAATTGAGATAATATGTACATGTTGGTAGTTAAAGTGACAAGTTTAAAATATACTGAGTTACAGTTCATATGAGGAAATCGGTCAATTGAAATAAATTCATTAGGCCCTAAATTTATGGATTTCAAGACTGGGAATACAGTCATGCGTCGGTTGGTCAGATACCTTTAAAAAATGGGCCTCAGGATCTCGTCATGGTATTTCTGTGCATTCAAATTGCCATCGATAAAATGCAATTGTATGAAAATGTATGCACTACTAACTGTAAGTCGCTCTGGATAAGAGCGTCTGCTAAATGACTAATCGAATTGTCTAGTTTATTCCTACCCATACCATAACCTCACTGTCACAATGTTCACAACAATGACATCAGCAAACCGTATACGTGGTCTGCTGTTGTGAGGCCAGTTGGACATACTGCCAAATTCTCTAAAACAACGTTGGAAGTGGCTTATGGTAGAGAAATTAACATTAAATTCTCTGGCAACAGCTTTGGTGGACCTTCCTGCAGTTGGCATGCCAATTGCACGCGCCTTCAACTTGAGACATCTGTGGCGTTATGTTGTGACAACTGCAGATTTTAGTGGCCTTTTATTGTCCCCTGCACAAGGGGCACCTGTGTAATGATCATGCAGTTTAATCATCTTCTTGATATGCCACACCTGTCAGGTGGATGGATTATCTTGGCTAAGGAGAAATGCTCACTAACAGGGATGTAAACAAAATTGTGAGGGTAAGCTTTTTGTGACTGGAAAATTGATAGGATCTTTTATTTCAGCTCATCATTTTGGTTTGCAATGGCGTACACCACTGACAATCTGAAATGGTCCACCTAAGACCCTAAAACTTTTACAGATGCACCATTGAGTGCATCCTGTCGGGCTGTACCACGGCCTGGTATGGCAACTGCACGGCTCTCCACAGGGTGGTGCGTCTGCCCAATGCATCACCGGGGGCACACTGCCTGCCCTCCAGGACACCTACAGCACCCGATGTCACAGGAAGGCCAAAATGGTAATCAGGGACATCGACCACCCAAGCCACAGACTATTCACCCCGCTAAAGTCCACAAGGCGAGGTCAGTACAGTTGCATCATAGCTGGGACCGAGGGACTGAAAAACAGCAATTTCAAGGCCGTCAGACTGTTTAAATAGCCATCAATAGCCGGCCTCCACCCAGTACCTTGCCCTGAACTTAGTCACTGTCACTAGTTGGCTACCACCCGGTTACTCAACCCTGCACCTTAGAGGCTGCTGCCCATGGAATCACTGATCACTTTAATAATGGAACACTGGTGACTGTAATGTTTACATACTGTTTTACTAATTTCATGTTTATACTGTACTCAAGTCAATGCCACTCTGACATTGCTCGTCCTGATATTTATACATGTCTTAATTCCATTATTTTACTTTGCGATGTGTGAATTGTTAGATACTACTACACTGTTGGAGCACAAGCTTTTCGCTACGCCCGCAATAACATCTGCTAAACATGTATGTGACCAATAAAATTTTGCGTTTATATTTTTGTTCAGTGTACTTTCCCTGAAGAACTGCGCACCGTTGGGTAAACTTGTCATTCAGTACAAACCGTCACGCATGCCCACCGGAGGCCGAGACCATAGAAATAGTGACGCCTGAAACTCCGGATTTGACCACGCCCACAGAAACACCTCGGTGCCACTGAGGCAGTTCGATTACCGGGCTATGGCCCGAGACATTACTAGGAAGAGGAATGAGCGCCCTTCTCAAATTGAACGGTAATCTGCACCGCCCGATCCTACATCATTACCCCACGTGCTTGACATACCTCACTGTTTTAAACAGACTTCGCCATCGGCTTTGACCGGTGTTATGATACTGATGGTTTGTATGATTGTGGCTAGATGGAGTGCAGCTTCGTCTAGTTGTCAAGTCGGGGATAGTAGTTAATTGTAGCACTAGCTAACCCTAATCATTTTCTTAACCAAATTCTCCTAACACGCTACTGTTAATTATTCTAACCTGCTGTGTTAGTTCTCCTAACCTGCTAAGTAAAGTCACTTCTGTCGTAGCTGGGTTAAGCTTAGCTAAAATGCTACAGTTGTCAACAAACCATCAGTCCCGACAAACCATCAGTATCACTACACCGGGGCACCCGGCTCATGCACGGGAGGCAGCCTGGTTACAAAATGCAATCACTTTTCATCCACTGTACACTCCTCCTACCTGGTAAACCGGGCCATCTTAATCGAATTCCCTCACTCGCACTGTTCCCCGAGCTTGTCCAAGCGAGACGTGTTGACATCGTCCAAAACATTTCGCACAACAGTCGGGAAGAAAATGAGTCTTCCAGACTCCAGATCGCCGGGCAAACAGTATTCTTCGGGGCAACTGGTAAGGGAAAAGTGTTTATTGTGAACTAGTCATTCATTACAAGCATCTGGAATGTTTAGAGGAAGTTGCTTATTTGTTAACTTCTTCAGCTTCTCGATTACCTTCAGCCTGAGACGGTATAAAGTAGCCAAAATGTTATCTCTCTCTCTAGGTCATGGATACAGTCTGCTTTGTCACCGATTTACGAATTTGTTATAAAATAGTAGCCTTTTGATGACAATGTGTATTCCACACTGTGCTGCGATCTCACGCAAATCTGGCCCAGTATTCACGAAGCGTTTCAAAGTAAGAGTGCTGCTCCAGGAACAGTTTAGCCTTTTATATCATAATTAATTTGATTTATACGGGGGACCTGTTCCTAGAGTAGCACTCCTACTCTAAGACACTTTATAAATATGCTGTAAAAACGTATTTACTTTTTAAAAGTTATTGGCTCTCATACTGACTAGTGTGGAGGGTGTTGCTGATCAGGCAGGTAGGCACATCCTTGAGACTACAGTATTTATCTACCGTGTAGCAGGTGGACTATTCCTTATCTCACACTGAGTCACTGAAATAGTTGAGAAATTGACCTACTGACTGATTTGCCACATTATGTAGGCGGTGTCCCTACCTCTTTCATGACATTAATTTTTTTAATTGTTTATTTGAAAGAATTAATTTAATGTTTTTTTTTTATGTGTAGTGAAAGTACACAGAATAGGTGAAGTGGGCCTTGACCTTTCCTCTCTTCCTAACTGTTCCTAACCTACCCTAACAGTCCCTACCCCTAACCTATATCCCTCCCTGTCCCTAACCTAGCCTAACCTTAGCAGTCTCCCTGTCCCCAGAGTTGTTCTGTAGTGCTGCTGAATGTGGGTGGTCATGTGTTCACCACATCTCTGTCTACGCTGCGTAAACACCCCGACTCTCAGCTGGCCTCCATGTTCAGTAGTGGTCAGCAACCCAAACTGCCCACCGACGCCAAGGGACGCTACTTCATCGACCGCGATGGGACGCACTTCGGAGCCATTCTTCAGTTCCTACGCACCCAGCGCCTGCCCACAGAGAGTGTTCTGGAGGTTTGTGACACACACAAACACACACACTAGCCCATATGTCGGAACCCTGAACCAATGAGCTAGCCCATTGTGCATTATCATCTTCCCTGAGATCGGTTGCCCCATAACATGAGTCCTACGTGTGGTTGGGTGTGTGTGTGTAACAGGTTTACCAGGAGGCGCTCCACTATGACATCAGAACCCTGGTGAAGCAGCTGCAGGACTCAGCCCAGGTGTTTGGAGAAACAGTGGGGAGGCAGCAGTTCATCTCCAGGGTCCCCAACTACCTGGAGAACCTGGAGGTACAATGGCCCTGATATAATAAAATGACCTAACCCCTGTGGCCTGGGGTGATCCAGCAATCTAAACCGCTGTCTCTCGATTACATGTGCTGAACTACCGCAGCGAGCATGGGTTCGAATCGGACCCACTGCTCTATCTATCCTTTCCAGTAAACACAGAAAATGTGAATGGAGTGGGACTGACCCACTCCTTAAAAAATAAACCAAAACTGCCTCTACAATGTTCCTGTCAAATAACTGATATCAATAAATATGAGATATTATTTATGGTCACTGTTATGACTACCAGGTGTTGGTGAGAGTGGCCCGAGCGGAAGCCATCGCTGCCCGTCACTCTGCTGTCATCGTGTGTGTTCTGAGGAACGAGGAGGACCTGGGTCGCTATGACAATGCCATCAACAACCTGGAGGAACAGGAAGTGGTGCGGTTCGGACCGTGGAAGGTGTGTACCTGTACTGAATGTTGTGTTTCGGTGTGTGTATCTGTACTTAATAGTTTATGTATATGACTACTACCAATGCCACAAAGGCACTTTCAACTGGAACATTTGTTTTTTTCACTACAATTCCTCTTTAACAGGGTGCTGAGGGTTCTCTTTCAAATACTTGTTTCGGTGTCTCACAATGGGATCACTACGGAAGAACCAATCACACAACGTGTTACACGGCTAGCTATCGAGACCTGGTTAGCCCACGCTGCAAAGCTAACTTGGTTAGTTCACTGGAAAGCAAGCTAACCACACTAGCATTCCTACGTGCACAACGGTAATGTTGCTAGCTCCCTTCTCGTTTAGTTCAACCTAGTTTCACTCGTTTGTGTTAACTAGACCGACCGCTTTAGCCTCATGGCTCTACGGTCGTGGGAGAAAATCAGTCTAAAGTCAGAAACTGCTCCCACGCGGTTCCCTTTGGCTAGCGCTGTGCTAGCTAAACACACCTTAGCCACACAAGGTAGCTGCTAGCTATCTAACGCCTTACTAGCCTCGTGGCTATAGCATTCATACTGTGCTTGCCCCAGCTAGCCAATAGCCGCAAGGCTTCTAACAAGCTAACTTACCCATATTTGAAGCCTCCGGTTTGACACGTTTTTACAACAGGTATCTCGGTATTAGAAAGCCTTGTTCTATACAATGTCCACTGTTACCCTGTTCCAGGGCGGACCAAGCCAATCACTCGAACCACCACGTTCTTTCACTTACGGTTTCATCATTGCGGGAAAGTATTATCACCTTTATGCATCAACTGCTTGGAAGGGAACATGCTCAGTGTGAGCACTGCAAAACGCTGACTAGGGTGGGTTTGAGGAGGAGGATCAAACGTACCTCTCTCTGCCACCCCTCAGGGGAAGGTGATCTAGGGGATTGACGAGGTGACGAAGGGATTAATCTCCCGGGTCTCCTCACTTTGCAACTGAAATGGAGACCCCGTTCTTCCCCCCTCTGGTCCCGATGTCACCCTGCTCCCAGGACGGGTGAGATGCTCTCCCCTGCTTGGAGTTTGGGCTCTTCGACGTTTGCAAGCGAGCCACGGTCAGACTCGGCATCGAGTGGCCGTCTCCCTTGGGGGGGGGGGGGGGGGTCAGGATCTGTACGATGGGAAAATATTACCTACCGTCCAGAGTGCGAATTATACCGTGACATCCGGTGGGGCTCAATTTTCTTCACTGCACTATTAGGCCCAGAACATTTTGTTTATTGCCTAATAGTAAAGACGTATATAATTTAACTGTATTTTTAAAATTACTATTTTAATTTGGCATGAACACAACCAGTCATGATGTTTTCATCTTATTGTCAAACCAATCACTTCAAAAAGTAGGCTACCTGCGCATGTTCGTCCACTCCAAAATAATTCCAGCATCCAAAAAGTGCTCTGTGCACTCGGGGCCATTTGATGAATGGAAAGGAACATCTGTTAAAAAACAGTGTAATGACATTCGGCAATTGTCATTGGGTCTACACTCTTGTAGCCTGAATTAATTGATGTGTCTTGCTGACAAAATTAACTTTTTTGTAGAAAGAAATGTTGGGACACCTGAAAAAGGGTTGAGATACGGGACGAGAGACTGAAGAGGAAGCGAGACACCCTACTAACTGTTTTATTTATTTTTCTGGTTCAATTAAAGTCAATGAACTAAGTAGACCATACCCAGCTGCAATTTTTTTTATTTAACCTTTATTTAACTACATTTACATTTTACATTTTAGTCATTTAGCAGACACTCTTATCCAGAGCGACTTACAGTTAGTGAATGCATACATAATTTTTTTTCCTACCCCCTGTGGGAATCGAGCCCACAACCCTGGCGTTGCAAACGCCATGCTCTATCAACTGAGCTACATCAGTTAAGAACAAAATCTTATTTACAATGACAGCCTATTGCATTGGTGTCTATAGGAGACACACCCAGTTAAGCAGACCGGAACTTTTTGTGCTGTTATTGTGAAGTGGAAACGTCTAAGCGCAACAACAGCTCAGCCGTGAAGTGGTAGGCCACACAAGCTCACAGAACGGGACCGTCAAGTGCTGAAGCACGTAGCACGTAAAAATTGTCTGTCTTTGGTTGCAACACTCATTACAGAGTTCCAAACTGCCTCTGGAAGCAACATCAGCACAATCACTTTTTTTCGGGAGCTTCATGAAATGGGTTTCCATGGCCGAGCAGCCGCACACAAGCCTAAGATCATGCGCAATGCCAAGCGTCAGCTGGAGTGGTGTAAAGCTTGCCTCCATTGGACTCTGGAGCAGTGAAAACGTGTTCTCTAGAGTGATGAATCACGCTTCACCATCTGGCATTCCGATGGACTGCCCCAATTCTTAGTGCCAACTGTAAAGTTTGGTGGAGGATGAATAATAAATAAATGGTTTGTTGAGCTCGGTGTGGAAGAACTTGACTGGCCTGCACAGAACCCTGACCTCAACCCCACCGAACACCTTTGGGATGAATTTAAACGTCGACTGCGAGCCATTCCTAGTCGCCCGACCTCACTAATGCTCTTGTGGCTGAATGGAAGCAAGTCCCCGCATAAATTACCCCAAATCCTTTCCAGGAGAGTGGAGTCTGTTATAACAGCAAAGGGGGGACCAACTCCATATTAATGCCCATGATTTTGGAATGAGATGTTCGACCAGCAGATGTCCACATACTTTTGGTCATTTATCCACCATCTTTGACTGTCCCAGGATGACAAGTGCAGCCACATGGGGGGAATATAAAAAAAAAACTGTAACAGAGTTGGGGGTGTTCGTTTAATATGGCCCCCTGTGATTTGCACTCTGCTTCCTTTCCATACGGCTCCAGTTAAACAACTGCTTCCTGCGGTCCCAGCATGCCTCAGGGAGGTGAAGGGCCCGTGTTACTAACACAGCCGGTACCTCCCCCTCTGGAAAGATGGAGCGCTTTTCTGCCTCAGACGTACAAAGCCTCAGCCCAGTCAGTCAGAGCACTCAACGTGACCTCTTTTTATTGCTAGCTTACCAGGAAAAAGTTACTGGAGGAGGTGGGGTTACTACAGTGGGGAAAAAAAGTATTTAGTCAGCCACCAATTGTGCAAGTTCTCCCACTTAAAAAGATGAGAGGCCTGTAATTTTCATCATAGGTACACGTCAACTATGACAGACAAATTGAGCTTTTTTTCTCTCCAGAAAATCACATTGTAGGATTTTTAATGAATGTATTTGCAAATTATGGTGGAAAATAAGTATTTGGTCACCTACAAACAAGCAAGATTTCTGGCTCTCACAGACCTGTAACTTCTTCTTTAAGAGGCTCCTCTGTCCTCCACTCGTTACCTGTATTAATGGCACCTGTTTGAACTTGTTATCAGTATAAAAGACACCTGTCCACAATCTCAAACAGTCACACTCCAAACTCCACTATGGCCAAGACCAAAGAGCTGTCAAAGGACACCAGAAACAACATTGTAGACCTGCACCAGGCTGGGAAGACTGAATCTGCAATAGGTAAGCAGCTTGGTTTGAAGAAATCAACTGTGGGAGCAATTATTAGCAAATGGAAGACATACAAGACCACTGATAATCTCCCTCGATCTGGAGCTCCATGCAAGATCTCACCCAGTGGGGTCAAAATGATCACAAGAACGGTGAGCAAAAATCCCAGAACCACACGGGGGGACCTAGTGAATGACCTGCAGAGAGCTGGGACCAAAGTAACAAAGCCTACCATCAGTAACACACTACGCCGCCAGGGACTCAAATCCTGCAGTGCCAGACGTGTCCCCCTGCTTAAGCCAGTACATGTCCAGGCCCGTCTGAAGTTTGCTAGAGTGCATTTGGATGATCCAGAAGACGATTGGGAGAATGTCAGATGAAACCAAAATATAACTTTTTGGTAAAAACTCAACTCGTCGTGTTTGGAGGACAAAGAATGCTGAGTTGCATCCAAAGAACACCATACCTACTGTGAAGCATGGGGGTGGAAACATCATGCTTTGGGGCTGTTTTTCTGCAAAGGGACCAGGACGACTGATCCGTGTAAAGGAAAGAATGAATGGGGCCATGTATCGTGAGATTTTGAGTGAAAACCTCCTTCCATCAGCAAGGGCATTGAAGATGAAACGTGGCTGGGTCTTTCAGCATGACAATGATCCCAAACACACCGCCCGGGCAACGAAGGAGTGGCTTCGTAAGAAGCATTTCAAGGTCCTGGAGTGGCCTAGCCAGTCTCCAGATCTCAACCCCGTAGAAAATCTTTGGAGGGAGTTGAAAGTCTGTGTTGCCCAGCGACAGCCCCAAAATATCACTGCTCTAGAGGAGATCTGTATGGAGGAATGGGCCAAAATACCAGCAACAGTGTGTGAAAACCTTGTGAAGACTTACAGAAAACGTTTGACCTGTGTCATTGCCAACAAAGGGTATACAACAAAGTATTGAGAAAGTTTTGTTATTGACCAAATACTTATTTTCCACCATAATTTGCAAATAAATTCATTAAAAATCCTACAATGTGATTTTCTGGATTTTTTTTTTCTCATTTTGTCTGTCATAGTTGACGTGTACCTATGATGAAAATTACAGGCCTCTCATCTTTTTATGTGGGAGAACTTGCACAATTGGTGGCTGACTAAATACTTTTTTTCCCCACTGTACATGATTCCATATGTGTTTTTCATAGTTTCGATGTCTTCACTTATTCTACAATGTAGAAAATTGTAAAAATAAAGAAAAACCCTGGAATTAGGTGTCCAAACTTTCCCCTGGTACTGTGTGTATATCTATTTCCTGTGCAGCAGCTCACTTTCGTGGTCTTGCTCAAACTGGAGGAGCTGCACTTTACCCCCAAGTGCCCTCCTCCCCTATACATTTACATTTTAGTCATTTAGCAGACGCTCTTATCCAGAGCGACTTACAGGAGCAATTAGGGCTAAGTGCCTTGCTCAAGGGCACATTGACAGATTTTTCACCTAGTTGGCTTGGGGATTAGAACCAGCTAGCTTTCGGGTACTGGCACAACGCTCTTAATCACTAAGCTACCTGCCGCCCCAACTCTCCCCTCTGCGCCTTTTCAGGTTCCAGCCAGGATGTCTGCTCTCCCTCTGGTCTCATCAGACAAATGGAGCAGAATGTCAGATTGCCAGTTGCTATCTATCATGGTCCTCTTCTCATGCCCTGCAGCATTTTGCCTCAAACTGTCTATTGTACGCAAGCGAACACAGTAGAACAGATTCACGAGTGCACCTCGGAACGCCACCAGGGGGTGCCATCACTCTAGGTGAGCGAGGTAGGGAATAAAACCTGACAACACTTTCCCATTCTCTCGGTGGATTCCTGTCGCTCTCGCACAGTTCATCCCTGGAGTTTCATGTGTTTGGGTTCCCAGGGGATCAGGCTTACTGCGAAACTCCCTTAGCCCTCTTGGTTTTGGGGATTTTTCGGCAAGCCAACGGCAACTCTGCTCAATTGATGGAGAACCCTCTTTATCGAGCTAGAGGACAGTCTACAGTATTTAATGACTTTCTAGTTCAAAGAGAAGAGAAAGGGGGGAACGGCACCCTTATCAGGCGACAGCCCCAGACAGCAATCTTGTACTCCCAAGTCCACTTAGGCTTCCTCCTCATCCCCTTTCTACCCTGTGCTTGGTTCATGCTGTTGGGCCACTGCCCGCTCTACCTCCTTTTACTGGAGCGAGCGGCTGAGGATACTTTTGCTGTTGTTAATCCAGGGAAGCTCTGGTTGGCAGAGATCACTCTCCTGTTTTACAACCAGCCCTGGTAGCTACCGTTACGCAGGGATCTTTTGGCCTTAGCGAAGGAGGAGATTTTCCACCCTACCCCTACCCCAGGAACCATTGCCCTCTGGGCCTGGCCCATGAGAGGATGAATCTGAATGCGACAAGCTTGCCACTGAGTCTTTCCAGAGTGCCACAGCCTCTTCTACACTGTATGGAACAAGTGGTGCATTTTTGAAGAAGTGGTTATCCCATTGGATAGTGGAGGCTATTATACTGGCCACCCCGCATACATTTTGAGGTTTTACAGACTGGATGTCACTGCACCTTCTTTGGCGCATACTGTCCTCAGTGTCGGAGCCTCTGAGGGGTGATCACATCGGACCGTGATACAGGAGTTGGGCTTATCCCATAGTGAGACATCGAAAAAACCATTTGAAAGATAACTCAAGGTTACTTGCGTAACCCCAGGTCTCTGAGAATGAGTGAGATGTCTCACGGCATTTCCCTGCTCGCAAGAGTGTAATGAAGAGAGGCATGCTTGAGATTGACCAGAGGGTGGAGCAAGTGGCGCCTTATAAAGAGGGAGGGGCTCACCTCATTTGCCATTCAACCTATCTGTCTCCGACAGACGTTGTGTGATTGGTTTGTCCGTAGTGATCCGCCTATCCAGTGAATCCCATAGACATCATTCTCACTCATATTCTAAGAACTGGGGTTACGCAGGTAACCTTGAGTTATGTGTGATGAGTGTGTGGGCGTTTCTAATTGTGTGTGTGTGCGCTACAGGCCCCTCCGACTGCCATTGACCTGTTGGACTGCATCAAGATGGATGTGGAGGCCAGGGGATACAAAGTGAGATATGAGCCTCACAGCTCAGACCGAGGCTTTCTGTTCAAGTCCAATGATGGCTTCCTCTATAAACTCATCTTCACCTGGTGGTAACAGAATGACAGAAGAAGTGTGTGGTGTAGAACATCTATGGATGCCTTCTGATTCTCTACCCTTCTCCAGAAGTGTGCACTCCCCCTCATGCATTTAAAACAATTGGATTGGTGCAAACATGTCTGGATGGTGTTTCCACCTTATTCATTACACCAGCCCGTTCCTTTTAAATCCACGAGGGGGACTGTATGAGTGCACACTTCACCCTTAAAGTTGCCCAGACAGAGACATGCACAGAGATCCTATTAAATTACTATTATATTAGAAATGAATTAGACCCTATTAAAGTTCTAATATGTCATTCTATGGAGATGTGTATGTATAGATGTACAGTCCTTTATGTATTTATTTGGACAGTGAAGCTAAAACGTTTAATTTGGATCTATACTCCAGCATTTGGATTTGAGATCAAATGTTTCATATGAGGCGACAGTACAGAATGTCACCTTTTATTTGAGGGTATTTTCATACATATTTACTGTTTAGAAATAAAAAACCTTTATGTATCTAATCCCCTCCATTTGAAGGTGTGTAACAATGGTTAAAGTAATAATCGGTTAACCCTATCAATCCCAAGACCCCAGCAAGAATCAGCATGTCCAGCACTTATATTTGGCCTCAAAATGAAGTCTTTTACCATTTACTTTTCAGGACAACCAGGGCTACAAGTAGAACACAACACAATTTGACATAAACAGTTGCTTTCATGAGTTTGAAAAATGTCAATTAAAGTGTCAACCTGATAAATTAATTTATATGAATGCTGTAAGTACAGAAATTGTTTGCTTAGTGATGGTTACAACTCTGGAGTTTGGAGTTTGCGACAGTAACTGTGAGCTTATTACTGTGTTATAGACACTGTGTCCTGGGGTTTCCTATGATCTTCAATGTAGAAGAACCCTTACCATCTAACCAGTGGTGTGAAGTACTTAAGTAAAAAATACATGAAAGTACTACTTAAGTAGTTTTTCTGGGTATCTGTACTTTACTATTTATATTTTTGACAACTTTTACTTCACTACATTCCTAAAGAAAATGATGTACTTTTTACTCCATACATTTTACCTGACACCCAAAAGTACTCGTTACATTGTGAATGCTTAGCAGGACAGGAACATTGCCTAATTCACACTTATCAAGAGAACATCCCTGGTCATCCCTACTGACCCTGATCTGGCAGACTCACTTAAACACATGCTTCGTTTGTAAATTACGTCTGAGTGTTGGAGCATGCCCCTGGCTATCCGTAAATAATAAAAAAAAAAACAAGAAAATGATGCCATCTGGTTTGCATTATATAAGGAATTTGAAATTATTTATACTTTTACTTTTGATACTTAAGTATATTTAAAACCAAATACTTTTAGACTTTTACTCAAGTAGTATTTTATTGGGTGACTTTCACTTTTACTTGAGTAATTTTCTATTAAGGTATCTTTACTTTTACTCAAGTATGACAATTGGGTGCTTTTTCCACCACTGCTTCTAACGACTCTTGTGTAGGTTGTGAGCATCCTAGAGCAAAACATTGTTTGTTGCTCTAACGATTCTGACTCTTCTCTCACAAACACAGCTCTAGCTCAGCCATTCATGACATCAGTGGAATGGAATTTTGTCTAAATAAAAGTAGTTGTAGAACACATTTTACTTAGGCCAGGATTCAATCCGATCACCCCTTTTCGCCTATGCACCATTGTGGTCCTCTGTAGCTCAGCTGGTAGAGCACGGCGCTTGTAACGCTAAGGTAGTCGGTTCGATCCCCGGGACCACCCATACACAAAAAACGAATAATGTATGCACGCATGACTGTAAGTCGCTTTGGATAAAAGCGTCTGCTAAATGGCATATTATTATTATTATTAAAGGCAGTTACCCTTGTCGCAAAGATCACATTCAAAATAAACGCTGCATTTATAGGCTCAATCCTTTAAATGTCAAATGCGCTACAATGCGGATCTTCCACGGTCCGAACTGAATCCTGGCCTTAGCAAAAATACAAGTTCCAGTCTGTGCTCAGATGGGTCTAGAAGTCTAACAGAGGTAATTTGGTGAACCACACTTGCATGTTGATTAACCTTGTGTGAGACCTGAAGACTTGCGTTAGCTCCCCGGAGATAAAAAAAGATTACACCTTGGAACCATTTTGTGGTTGTGCCTTGCTCAAGGGCATAATAGCAGGAGATGGCATCTAGGATGAAATACCAGCAACTCTCCATTTGCCGGTTCACATCCACCAGATTTTCCCAATTAGACCCAGGAGTCAAACCAGCAACCATCCGGTTGTTGGCCCGCCCCTCTAGGCTACATGCAGCCCCATAGTTCACCAAAGTAACAAGTGACACAGGTTTGAACTTAGTCGATAACAACAAAAACTGACTGGCTCACACCTGCCAGATTTCTCCTGTTAGCCCTGGAATTCAAACCGGCAACCTTCCAGTTACTGGCTTGCCACTAACCTCTTTAAGTCTCAAAAAAAGATTTCTAAACACAAGAGAATGGTTTACGGAACCATCTTCATTACACTCCATGACCAATTTCACCTCCTCATAAATACCTATCCAGGTCACAGCACCAATGGGACAGCACCTAGGTCTCCTGCAGGCCACAAGACCGTGTTACCCTGCTAAGCTTAAGTGTAGGCATTAGCTCAAGGAGCTTACACAAATCTTTAGGTCTCAGACAAGTTTAATTACACCTACATCACTTTTCCGGTGATATCCCCTACTGGCTTGGTGGCCATGAGTAAAGGCAACACCAAAGGGGGTATACGTAATGCACTCGTAACGCCTTGAGGTAGCCTGGCGAGTAGGAGTGTTGGGCCAGGAACCGAAAGGTTGCTGGATCGAATCCCCGAGCTGACAAGGTGAAAATCAGTATTTCTGCCCCTGAGCAAGGTAGTTACCCCACTGTTCCCTGGGCACCGATGACGTGGATGTGTATTACAATGAAACACTGAATTAATGCATAATAATTGCTAAATGATCCTCTCTTAAAGGTCAATTTGGGGACTGTGTATTTTAATTGTTTTATCAATGTTTATTTGCTTCTGAATTTGTCTCTTCAGCCAGCCAGTGGGTCTTAGTTTATGACCTGTAGTAATGAATGACTCTGGTGTCGTATTACATTACATAGCCACTGGAGGCGGGAAAGTCCAGCCTATTTCCTGCCCATTTCATTTGCTGAAAGGCCCATCACTTCTGGCAGAAAGATTTGCACTGTCAAATGAAGCACAACGCTGGAAATGTATCGACAAATTAGTACTGGCATCGTTCTATGACAAACACAGGTTTTATATTGAATTCAATTGAAGAAAACAAAGGTACATACTGCCAGATCCTTAATGTAGCCATTGGCTATAATATACAGTCAGTCTCTCCCTCTCTCTCTCTCTCTGTGAAGGCCCCTGCCTTTATGAAATCATTCATAATCCCTTCATAAATGTTGCAGTGTCATTTATAATGACCTTCATACCACATTAATACCTGATGAAGGTCCTTGCAGGATCGAAACGTTTGTTTGTGAATAAAGGTACCTGGTGGAGCTTATGAGTGTGCAGGCCTTTATTTTATACCACATTAATACAACATCAATCATATGTAATCTTCAAAACAAAAGTCCTGTTTTCGTTACAGTATTACTATTATTGTTATTATTATCAAGTTATTTTCTAGTAGAAATATCTGGTGGGATTGAGCTGGATGGTTGCTGGTGTTACTCACTGGGTTAGTTCTGCGCCATCCAGATCTGGGTTCAAATAGTATTTGAAATCGTTCTAATAATTTGAGTGTTTGCTTGAGCCTGTCTGGAGTGCCAGATTGATGGGTTTTGCACTTTTGGGACTATTCCATGTCCATTAAAATAAGGGAAATAATACAAATATTAATTATGTTAAGTTATTACATGATTGGTTGAAGTTATTACAGTTATTCATTAAACATTTTTTGCTACTTACCTGATAACATAATAACCACCGGAGGATGTAAGCGGAAAAGTTATTACGGTAACCGTTCAATTTATTACGTTATCGGATTAAATCACAGTACAGGTGTGTTCTATTCTGACTTTTATTTAGAAAATGTATGTCATGAATGGTTTCATAAAGGTTTTATGAATGCCAATCTATAATCAAGTAAAGTGTTACCCGTATGTGTGTACATTTCAATGTGCTTGCGAGTGTCTACTGTATGTTGGAGTATTAAATTACTCAGTTACGTTACCAGCTAAAATATTGTAATCAGATACTTTTGAAAAAATTGATTACTTCTTGGATTACTTTAAATTCAGAAAGGATGTTTGAGAAAAATACATGACAGCTTTCTATTTTCTCAATGACATTCAATTCAGCATTGAAAAAAGGCGCAAGTTTAAGTTTGTTCCACCTGAGCGATTCTGACCACAAGTCAGAGACCACTATGACAACACACCAAATGCGTTTGATGGATACTTTTTGTCTTCTTTTAATGCGTCTTAAAGAGATTCTCCGGTACTTTTGTATACTTTTTAGCCAGTAGTTCGGAGTTTTGGCCTGTCTTGTGACATCACCAGGAACTAAATGAGTTAATAGACCAAAAATAGAGTTCCAAACCTCTCTGCCAATAAGAGCTAGTTTTCAGTTTTCCCTTCCCAACTCAGACCACTCCCAGACAGTCCTAGCAAAATTCTTGCTTGAGAAATTGCTCTTTGCTAAGAAGCTATTGTTAGAAATTGCGTAATTCAAATCTGGTATTGGAATAAGAGAAAACATATCAAGGGATATTCAATCCAAGCTAAATTTATTATATGCAAAATGTATGTATGATAAGTATGATGGTTCGTATACGGGCTCACTGAAATACCATGCAGGGCACTCAGAGAACTAAGCCATTGTTATGAGTTCTTCTTAAAATACTCTGACAGAGATAGTTCCCGCTCCCTGCTGGCCAATCAGAGTAGAGACTGAGCGTGGTTTAGACATACTCAGCCTATCCGTTGGCGCACAGGCTGGTCCCAGCCCC